TATTTAAGACCAAACGGGATTCTAAAGGTAATGTGGAAAGGTATAAGGCTCGTCTGGTAGCTAAGGGCTATACCCAAAAGGAAGGGATTGATTTTAAAGAGACTTTCTCTCCAGTTTCATCAAAAGACTCTTTTAGGACAATCATGGCTCTTGTAGCACATTATGATTTGGAGCTTCATCAAATGGATGTCAAGACGGCGTTTCTTAATGGCAACATTGATGAGACGATTTATATGGTGCAACCAGAAAATTTTGTGCAGGGAGATTCAAAGAGTATGGTTTGCAAACTGACAAAATCCATTTATGGACTAAAACAAGCATCTCGTCAATGGTACTATAAATTTCATCAAGTAATTCTCTCATTTGGCTTCGAGATGAATATTGTTGATGATTGTGTATATCACAAGTTTAAGGGGAGTAAGTATATTTTCCTGATCTTGTATGTTGATGACATTCTACTTGCCACCAATGATATAGGCATATTGCACGAAACCAAGAAATTTTTATCAAAGAATTTCGAAATGAAAGATCTTGGTGATGCGTCCTTTGTATTAGGAATTCAGATACACCGAGATCGATGTCGGGGTATTTTAGGATTATCACAAAGGAGCTATATCGAAAAAATTCTTAAAAGGTTTGGCATGCATGAATGTAAATCCGGGGATACTCCAGTTGCTAAGAGAGACAAGTTTAGTCTCAATCAGTGCCCAAAGGGGAATTTGGAAATTGAGGAAATGCAAAAGATTCCCTATGCATCAGCTGTAGGGAGTTTGATGTATGCCCAAGTATGTACGCGTCCAGACATAGCATACATAGTTGGGGTTCTAGACAGATATTTAAGCAATTCAGGAATGGACCATTGGAAAGCAGCAAAAAGGGTCATGAGATATTTAAAGAGAACAAAAGATTACATGCTCACATACAGGAGGTCAGACCAGTTGGAGATCGCTGGGTTTTCTGACTCGGACTTTGCAGGATGTCAAGATAGTTTGAAATCCACTTCAGGTTACATTTTCATGTTAGCAGGTGGTGCGGTTTCTTGGCGCAGTGTCAAGCAAACCCTTACAGCTTCATCCACCATGGCAGCAGAATTTGTAGCATGCTATGAGGCGTCGAATCATGGAATATGGCTGAGAAATTTTGTCACAGGGCTGCAAATTGTGAAAGGCATTGAAAGACCACTTAAGTTATATTGTGACAACAAATCAGCTGTATTGTATTCCAACAACAACAGAAGTTCGACTAAGTCAAAGCACATCGACATTAAGTTTCTAGTTGTTAAGGAAAGAGTACAAAGTGGACAGATTTCCATAGAACATTTGGGGACAAACTCCATGATAGCAGATCCTCTAACTAAAGGACTTCCGCCCAAGGTCTTTCATGAGCATGTTGCTCACATGGGTGTTTTACAGTTTGAGGAATTTGTGGTTTAGTGGGAGTTAGTCATTTTCATATATTTTATGTTCTATGTTTAATATTACATATGTATACATTGTTTTTTGGACATATTTGGTTATCTATAGATATGCGGTTTTCTTGTTCATTCATTACACTTTGTACATTAAGGTTATTATATCGATCTCGATAAGTTAAAGTTTGGACCAGTTGAAAATAGACGTGTACAGATCACCTTCACGTAATTTTTCATGCTACACATTTCATGATGAATCCATGTCGTTTGGTTATGTCAGGATGAGTAATCATTGTTGGTTTTACTTGCGATGATGCAATGAAAAGCTGGTTTGGTTCTATATCCTGATATGATTAATGGACAGGACTTTTGGAATATGCTAAAGGAATATAATGACAATTTTGAGCTCATAAAGTCTAACACATTTGTAAGGTTGTAAGGACATATATATTTGTGACCAGTGGGAGATTGTTGGCAAAATTTGGGTCATGTATATATATGATACATATTTAAATGTGTTAGGGTCATTATTTATTAAGCCAAATAATAAAGTGATCTGAATAAATTAATGTTTTGGCTAAAGGCATATGTCATGAAAATATGATTGTGTAGAGACCATAGAGTAATTTTTAATTTGATGAGGGGCCAAATTGAAAATACTAAAACTTAAGTAATTAACCTAATTTTGGTTATATAAAGGGTCATGGTCCCCTTCTGAGAGCACACAGACAGAATACAGATACAGTCCCGTTCTTTTCTTTCTATCCCCATCAAGAGAGAAAATCCATAGGGAAATACAGGTGCTCTTCAGGTGGAAGACCATAAGATCAACTCAAAGGTGCTCTACAAAGAATATCATCATTATGGCTAATTCAGGTACGCTTTCGCATTTAGTTTATATAACATGTTTACAGTATGGGATTATAGATATATGTTTGATCATTAGGATGAAGATCATATTCAATTACAGTTTAACCTAACATCTTGTAACAATTATCTATCGTGTGACCGTTCTTTCCACAAAAAGTACAGATCTTTTTCCCATTTCCATTCTTAGCATTCCTATTTTCATTATTTCCTGGGAAACCATGTTTACGAAAGCAATTTGACTCCATGTGGCCAGTCTTCTTACAATAAGTACAAGTAACAGTGCTACTATTGATCTTGGTTTCGATTTCATTCATAAAATTACTTCCTCCAATCTGTCTTTCTTGTTGAACTACATAAGAAAAGATTTTTGAGATGGAAGGAAGAGGATCCATCATTAGAACGTGATAGAGAACTTTGTTATACTGATCATTAAGTCCTCTCAAGAATTGCATAACATGATCTTCTGTCTTCCTTTGATGAAAAGAGACAATGAGACCACATGAGCATTTCTGCGAATATTTACAAGCCAAATCTGGACGAAAGCTATCCAATTCATCCCATATAATGCGCATTTTCGTGAAATATTCAGTAACAGATAAACTCCCTTGTTTAAGAGATGAAACCTTTAACCGTAGTTATGATATACGAATCAAATTACCTTGAAAGAATCTAGATTTGAGGTCTTTCCATATTTCTTCAGATTTATCCATCCATATAATGCTTTGTCTAATGGAAGGGGAAACGTAATGAATTAGCCATGCCACCACCATGTTATTGCACCTCTTCCATGCTTGATATGTAGGATCTGTTTCTGCTGGTTCAGGAACAGACCCATTGATAAATTCAACTTTATTTTTGGCGCTGAGGGCAATGGAAAAAGATTTGCTCCAAGAATGATAATTGTGTGATTCCAACAAAGGGGAAACAAGAGAGATGACTGGGTTTTCACTGGGATGCAAATACAGAAAATTATTCAACGTATTGAGATCATGAGTGGGTATAACAACCTTTGATTCACTACTTGAAATCATGAACAAAAAGAATAGAATAACAAAACAAGAGATACGCAGCAGAACTCTTCTAAAAGAAGAGCTCTGATACCATCTTGACAAATCTGCAACTCATCAAAGATAAAAAACATAAAGAAAGAGAGAGCAAAAAACACATTTTTCGAAAATGAAAACAGATATTATTTTTCTCTTCTTTACAAAAACACATTCTTCTTTATTTATTTATATATATATATATATATATATATATATATATATATATATATATATAATTGTGTTGCTAATAAGTAATTTTATTGTTTATGTGATTAATAATACTAATTATTATTATGCATGTATAATACATTAATAAATAAAAATATTTATGATATTTTTCTCACTTTATAAATAAATAAATAAATACAAATATTAAATGATGATAAAAATATTTAATAGATAATAAATTTCTATTAAAGCATTTGTATGTGGAAGTTAACCAAAAGTTATAAAAAAATTGATAACTTATAAATTAATTGATGAATTATAGCAAAGAAAAACTTTTTTTTCCTTATAACGTAAGATCCATCTTTACACTATAGTAAATTTTGATACGGTATAAATGGGTGATGAAACTTTATCTTCGCCCATTAAACGCGATTTTGTAATTAAGATTGGATAGGATTAAATGGATGAGAAACTTTATATTAACCAATTAAACTCAATTATGTAATTAAGATATGAATTTGAGATAAATGATTGAGCAATATCGTGCAGTAACTTCATCCCAATAAATAATTTGCTTAATGATCTTGATAGTTTAAGGTTAAATATTTTTTTATTATGTTTTTTCATGTTTATCTAATATTAAGTTTAGTATCATTTAATTTTTTAAATAAAATAATATGATTTCTTTAATCGAGTTATTTAATGAAAGATGTAATATAGTATTGGCATGATGTTTATTTATATGATAATAATTATATATAATTTATTTTTTATTAAATTAATTGTAATGAAAAAAAGTAACATGTATTTAAGCTATATTATAACTTTTATTCAATATATTTTCTTATGATCAACAAATAACAAAAAAGGTAATTTAAAATTTATTTTAATACTCTAACTTCTGTATTATTAACTATCTTAATACTAGGTGAAACTATTGATTACAATTAGAAAACCTAGCAACTACGATATATTTTTAATCAATTAAGAACCACAACCAAACAAACATTTATATTACATAATTGGTACAATAAACCAAACTTCACATGACATATCGTTCGAATAATTTTTTTTTTTTTTTAGTACAACGGTATTTGTTTAACGTAAGGATATCTAATATTCAACTTACATGCATAACTAATTATTATAAATTTAAGCAATGTAAAAATTTAAAGTCACATAAATCTTGATAAAAATCATATTTATTTCCATAAAACATAATCATTTATATTTTTGTACTATTATTATTTTTGGTGCCTAATATCTATTTCAAAAAAAAAAATATATATATATATATATATATATATATTTATATATAATTTTTTTTCTTTTTTAATTTTCGGTCGGAAAGACAATTTTTTTAATGGTTAAATTGGTTTTCCTAATTTGTTTTTCTATTCCCAAGTAACCCAGTTTCTGTGTTCTCTCTAGAGAGTGTCATTTGTATCATAATTTTGGTCTTAGACAGCACAAACACATAAACCACGAAATTGTGCCGAAAATCGATGACTTCGCAAAATGGTGGCGAGAGCCACCAACCTCCACCGCAACCGCAAGGTACTGATGGATGCACACTTGTTTTCGTTCATCCTTTTTCATTTCTCAACTCTTATTCGCTGAAGAAAAGAAAGAAGATTAGTTTCACTCATTTGACTAAGCTCTTTATTCGATTTTGTTTCGATAATGATTTGGTTCCGTAGGTGAAAAGGTTACTGAAGTGGGATGGTTTGTTCTTGGTGAAGATCAACAACAGGTTGGCCCTTACGCCTTCTCAGAGTTACGCCGTGAGTTTTTTTTTGGGATACTATATATTTTTTTTTTCTTTGAATCTTTTTCTGTTTCCAATGAACAAAATGGACTGGAGCTAGGGTTAGGTATTGGATAATTTGTTTTTGTTGTTTGTTTGTTCTCTCCAACTAAGTGAAAGCTTAGGCAGCACTGTGTCGACTTTGAGCACACTTGTGATTTTTTGTTGAAATTCAAACCTCTATTTGTGATATTTAAATGGAAATTGGCTTGGGCAGAACATTTCTTGAATGGATACCTCTCCGAAAATACGTTTGTGTGGTCTGAAGGAAGGAGTGAGTGGCAGCCCTTGTCGTCAGTTTCTGACCTGTGGACTCAACTTAACCGGCAGGGACACGATTCTTCAACTGCAGGTATGACTTTTCTTCTCTTTCGTTTAGGATTTTTTCCAATATTATAGTTATTATTTGCTGTTGTTGTTGTTTGAGGAGCTTAGAGTGTGATCTGTATGTAGTGTCCGCCCACGATGTTGACGAGTTTGATAGATGGCAAAAGGAGATTCAGGAGGCAGAGGCACAGGTGGAAAATTCAGATTTTGGATCCTTTTCTGGCAATGTTGGAGGTACTGGGGCAGGAGAAGATTCTGAGAGACCTTCGACTCCACCTGAGGGTGAAGAAGAATTTACTGATGATGATGGAACTGTATATAAGTGGGACAGGAATCTTAGGGTTTGGGTTCCCCAGGTTGGTGCATGAGATGTGTATCACTGTCATCATCATCACTATAATTTTTTAATATCATACTTTATGTGACCAATGATGTTCTTTGATATATTATATGATTAAGTGAAGATAGGCTACCGACTTAACTAAATTTGGATGCCCAGGATTTTAGGTTAAATTTAATCAAGTTGTCACCCTTTTAAAATTGAACTGTTTTTTGAGGCTTACCAATTTCATAGGGCTGATTTTACATTGTCAAACTGATCAGTTGTATTTGTTTCCACTTTTGAGCGTATTATTATGGCATGCTAACCACATTGCCGTCTGAAATAGGTGGCTCAATAACACTGCTTTGGGGATTTAAATCCCAAAAATCAAACATTGCTGTCATAGTTAGAATTTATTCTTCATTCAGCATACACAATCTCCCTTGGGAAGAAGCAAAAGACAAAAAATGAAGGTTCTGTCATGCTGATGGGATTGTATGTTATGTATCCTAAAATGGATAAAATTGAAAATTAATTTGACACTGTATACATTTCCAAAATAAATACACTATCCGTGTCTGTTAATCTGGTAATTCCACAAGCAACATTTCTTAAGAATATTGAAACAACTATATACTTAAATTCTAAAAAATTTAAGCTAAATGACACTAACTATAAGGCTCCAATGGAATCTGAAACACTCAGTAAGGCAATTTATACCCAAACCATATGAATGATTCTATTTTACTATCAAATTTATAACATAAGTTTTAATGGATAACATAATCATTAATTATTAGAGGAGTTGCAGTTACTTGTAAGATTTACCGCGTATATGTTTTATGCTGGACACAAGTATTAAGTCATTATGCCTGCACCTTTCACATTGCAATGCTTAATCGCTGTGGATTGTGGCTGCTGTTCATTAACCATGATTCTGTTAAGTATGAAATTTTCATGGCTACTGTTGGGTGCTAGATCTTACATTACAAGTTCTGGGAATTCTTTAAATACACAGGGAATGCATACTCTCTCTTTCTCTAAACTTCTTGAGAGCTACCACCCTATATACAAGTGTTTCTCAAGTGTAAACTTTTTATGTTTTTTAATACAGCAACAAGTCATATTTTTTTTGAAGTGTTAAATCTAAATATTCTAAAAAACTGAAGTGCTTCTGTTCTGAATACTCAGTATTTTTTTTTTCTTTACTTGGATTTGATTACTTCTCTTTTGGTTGGGTTTCTGCCAGTCACATTTTGTTTCCTGTAAATTATGTGGTGTTTTCATTATAGTACTGGGAAATCAGAATGTTGTCTTCTCAATCTTGAGGCCTGTTATACTTATTTGTGATTGTGTATAGCCTTGATGTCATGATTCCTATAAATCTCAATAATGCCGTTGTAGTTATTCTTTGGGCCAAGGTTTGTTGATTGTTTCTAGAATGTATTTCTATTGATTTTTTTAGTGTGATTGATAAAGTTGTCATATCATAGGAGTTTCCAACTGGTAGCACTGAGCCTTATGGGCTTGAAGATATGACCTTCTTGCAAGAAGAGGAAGTTTTTCCAACAATAACTAATTCTGATGCCTCTGAAAAGTTTGAAGACGGTTCAAAATTGGTTGTTTCTGAACCTTCCTTAAAGGAAGAAGCAAACGAAGCAAATAATACCAATGTGGTAGCAGGTGGGAAAAGGAAGCTTTCAGATCAACAAACTGACAAGAAGGTGCCCTTTTCCTTTCCATCTAGTCTATATCAATGGTTTCACCACGATCCATTTTTGTATCTTTGTTGCTTTGACTTGGAAATGAGTATCTGTTTTTGGAGACAAATGACACCTCTATTGATCTCATTCGGTTTCAGGAAGCTAATAAACCCCCCGATAGTTGGTTTGAATTAAAGATCAATACACATGTTTATGTCAATGGGTTGCCAGAGGATGTTACCATTGATGAAGTAAGTATCAACTTTTGTCTCAATTTACCTGTGTGTAAAATTTGCTGCAATAATTAACATGACACTGAGTAATACATTGCAGATTGTGGAGGTATTTTCCAAATGTGGAATTATAAAGGAGGTATGTTTCTATTCCAATATTATATATTATATGTTCAATTGTTAATTGTTAAATTATAAACAATTGATATATAGCATATGTTAGTTTTTCATGATTAGAAGAGTCTTAAATGTTCCATTTATGTTGGTGAACGAAAAGACTGTTGACACTGTATAAATTAATGGTATAGTGACCCTACAATACTGCAAAAAATATAAATTAATATTTCTTGACATGGATGAGCAAGTTATGCTGCGTATCATGTTTGTCATGTCTTTTTAATGCTATCAGGAGGGTTTTGAATGGTAAGCATTGTATTTGTGATGAAAATTTTGTGAGCCTGTCTTTTCCTCTCCTGGGTACATACATGCACTTTCCAATACCCTAACCCTAAGTGAATCACAAGGGCCTAGCAACTTTTCCAAATTTGTTCTCAGTATGAGTAACTTGCAAGAGACTTTCTTTCAACTTCACTATGGTATTGTAAATACCTGTAAGAATGGAAGACTAGCTAGTTGAGGGTATCGTGACTTGTACTAGCTTCTCATGAATTCCTGATCATGGTTATTATAGGACCCAGAAACCAAAAGGCCTCGTGTGAAGCTCTATGTTGATAAAGAGACAGGAAGGACAAAGGGAGATGCTCTGGTTACATATCTTAAGGTAACTCCCGTATTGTGCTCTGCCTGTGACATAGCTGTCATTATAACAGTTTCAATTATGTTTGCATTCACTAGGAACCTTCGGTGGCTTTGGCAATTCAAATTTTAGATGGAGCACCTCTTCGCCCCGGTGGCAAGATTACTATGTCTGTCAGCCAAGCTAAATTTGAGCAGAAAGGTAACTATTATTGAATTCTTAATATTTCACATGACAACTTCTGATAATTATTGTTAGATATGGTCATATGGAATCCATGTCTTAAATTAATAATTTAGTTTTTATTATGCCTGCTGTTGCTTGATGAAGCTTCCTTTAAATATGCAGGAGACAAGTTTGTATCAAAGCAAGTAGACAATAAAAAGAAAAAGAAATTGAAAAGGGTCGAAGAAAAAATGCTTGGATGGGGTATGCTTTGGTCTCCTTAAATTTTCAAGTTGATATTTCTCGAATATGACTGATTCCCAATCCAATCTTTAATTTAGCCTAATTTCCCCTTTTCATATATATATTTTTTTAATTAAAATGCAATATTGATTTACTCTCTGGTAAATATTTTTACAAAAAATTTCTAGATGGTGATCCTTGGTTTTTTACTGAGCAAGGTTATCAAATTGAATTGAGATTCAAATGGTGAATCATCAAGCTAATTTGTGGATTGTGAATCATAAATTGTATTGAATCATATGATGTAAAGACAACAAAGATACTTCAAATATACCATATAGATAATATATATGTGCAATGTAATAATTTTGCACTAAATAAATAAAACAACTTAACCATAAGTCTTATAAAATAAAATTATTAGTTATACCTGGGTTTGTGAAGCCTTTATTTTAGAATAAAGGAAACAAAGAAATGAAATTAACTACTGAGTGCATTTTGGAGTTAACTAATTGATATATCATTGAAGCATATAAGATATTATTCTTTGAATAGAGGGGCCGTTGCAAGTGTTGGGAATCATTTAAAAGCTTTGTACTAGAATGTATTCTGTTGTCTTGTCTGCTTTTGATGATGATGGATCTAGATGCTCAGATGACACATGCAGATTCCTTTTTAATCTTGTTAGTATGAGAATTTTAGATGATTTTGGTTGAAATATTTTAGATTCATTTTCAGAGTTATTTTTCTTATTTAGCATGCATCCATTTTAGTAATGTGTTTCTTATTGTATGACTCAGGTGGTCGCGATGATGCAAAAGTTTCAATTCCAGCAACTGTTATCCTTCGCAATATGTTCGCTCCAGCTGAAATGAGGGTTGGGTTACTTAATTTTTTTTTTTTTCTGGATACAATTATCTCAAGACAAACTTGCTCTACAAGTGCCCATACTTCTGCCCGTGAACATGATTATATAGATCACAGAAAAAAATTGCTACTATGCTTCTAAAAGTTCTAGCATACATATTTAGAATAAGTACTTTTTGTCATCACAATTAACCTTTTTTTTTGTGTTGTGATGATGATAGATGGTAATGATTATTATTGTGTCCCACATTAGTTAGAAATATTACCAAACTATTCCTTACAAGGCTTAGGCAAGTCTCGATGTTGGGCCTTGATATATGGCATTAGAATTACTATATTTAGGTGACTGTTAGAATTATTACAGCATACATATTTAGAATAAGTACATTTTGTGATCATAATTAACCTTTTTTTTTGTGTTGTGATGATGATAGATGGTAATGATTATTATTGTGTCCCACATTAGTTAGAAATATTACCAAACTATTCCTTACAAGGCTTAGGCAAGTCTCGATGTTGGCCTTGATGTATGACGTTAGAATTACTATAGTTAGGTGACTGTTAGAATTATTACAGGTGACTGTTAGAACTAATACAGATTGCTAGTAGTTGAATTTAAATGTAATTTATGAATTATACCTATCTAAATCTATATATATGGGATCATGAGAGTGGTGTGATTAACCCTCAAAAAATACTTCTCTCTTTTTAATATTAAGTTGGTATCAGAGCATGTTAATCCCGCTTTGCAAATCTCTGTCACCGCCCACTGCTGGCCGTTGCCGTGGACTACCACTGCCATCACTGCTCGTCACTGTAGCTGCCCACCATTGTATCTCTTCATTATCCTTGCGGTCTCCTATAAAAACTCCAGCAAACATGTCTTCTGGTCCTGTTGTCTCTTTCTCCAGCACTCCTACCATCACTTATGAGAAATTGAATGGAAAAAATTATCTCACTTGGTCTGTTTCTGTTGAAATGTGTTTCCTTGGCTAAGGTGTCCATGCCCACCTTAAACAAGATGCAAGTATGGTGCCTCTTGATAAAGCTGAACAGTGGAAGATAACTGATTTTCAACTTTGTGCACTACTGTGGTAATCTGTGGAACCCAAATTATTGGGTACTCTTAGATTATTTAAAACTTGTGACTCCTTTTCGAAAAAAACTCATAGTATCTTTGCAAATGATATTCAGTGTTTGTATGACTCTGCAAATAGACTTGTCTCCCTTAAACATCTGCAAATAGACTTGTCTCCCTTAAACAATCTGATCATGATATGATATCCTTCATGAGTGAAACTCAATCTGTTGTTGAAGAGAAATTAGATAAATTTTATATGGGGATGATACTTTGTGCCATGCATCTTGACTTCGAACATGTTAGAGATCAACTACTAACAGGGCATGAAGTCCCATCTATGGAAAGCCTGACTACTCGTCTTCTTCGTGTTCTTATTTTTCAAAGTAAAATGCTCATGAACCTATGAAATCTTCTGTCATGGTTTCCACACGTGGAAAAGGAGGACACCATGCTAGAGGAGAACGTGGTTGTCGAGGTCATCTTCAATGCTCATTTTGTAAAAGAATAGGCTATGTTCTAGAAAATTGTTTTGCTTGGCATGGTTTTCCTGACAAGTCTGTCCATATTTCTAAAACTGATGTAGCTGAATCAAAATTTTCTGATGAAGAATATCAAGAGTATCTAAGGTTGAAATCCAATAACTTGGCACAATCATTTACAATTCCCAGTTCATCGACAACTTGCATCTCACATTCTGTCGAAAGTCAAAATTCATGGATCATTGACTTAGGTGCATCTGATCACATTTCTGCTAATACATCCTTGTTCTCATCCCTATTCCTTTCGAAAAGTCATCATTTCATAACTTCAGCTAATGTTTATAAAGTTGCATCCCAAGGAGTCGGTCAAATCTGATATGAATCTCAATAGCACAAGGGATGATTTAGGATCTTTAGGATTAAAACCTTGTAGGAAATTTAGGAATTTAGTGATAAGGTGGAAGGAAAAAATCACTTTTTCCAAGGGAGACAATTCACAAAGGATGTGAAAGTCCTTTGATACAGCTAAGTGTTATTGAATAACTCAAAAATTTAGGAGAATCACTCTCACCAAGATAAAAGAGTTAAACTCTAATATTTTTAAATAAAATTCAACTTGTTATATTTGATAAAAATATGGTTAAGCTTATATAGAAGTTTTGTCATCAGAATTACAAAGATTTAATAAAGGAAAATAAATGCTAATAATGATTCATTAACCTAGGAATTGAAAACTACTTAATGGAGACAAATAAAGATTAATAATAATCCATTAACCTAGGAATTGATACTACTTAATGACTGATTGTAACTGAAATTGTGGCAACCAAAAGTTAATCAGTTATGCACCCTCTTAGTCTTCCAAAGATTGATGACTAAGTTTTCAATTTGGCCCTTATTACAACTTGTAATAAAACCAAACTAAAGTTCATTAATTGATTAATTCAAAACACAATTTGGTCAACTAACAATACTTGTTGAAGAGTTTCCTTTGATCTAGCCCTTGTCATAGGTTATGTCTACATCATTCTCTCCCTCTTGAAAAGGATTTATCCTCAAATCGGATTCGTTATCTACATAAAAAAGAGACAAGTCTGACAAATTGAATGTAAAACTAACATTATATTCACTTTTTGTGGTTAAATAGCTCTCTTTCATTGTATTTTTCAATGGAAATGTTCACTTCTACTTACTTCCTCACTTGCACCTCTCCATCCTTACTAAGCCATTGAAGTTTATAAGGTCTAGGATTAATAGGTAAATTTAGCTTTGACACTAATCTAGCACTAGCCACATTGGTACAACTACCTCCATCTATGATCATCATGCACACCTTGTCATTGATTAAACATCTAATGTGGAAAATGTTTTTTCTTTGGCTTTCTTCCATAGACTTCAATTGGCCATCATGCACATCTTTGGGAAGTTTAGTCACATTGTTCAAACTTTAGGGTTGAAACGTATTGAAGCTAATCATTTAGTTTTTTATTGTCACACCTCCCTTGAGAAATGTGTTTCCTTAATTGTATATGTTAATGATATTGTGATTACAGGAAATGATGCTGCCAAAATATCTCAACTAAAAGAAAACACTTGTGTAATCACTTTCAAATTAAGGATCTTGGATGCTTAAAATATTTCTAGGGGATTGAAGTAGCTCAATAAAAAGAAGGAGTTGTTATCTCTCAAAGAAAGTATGTCATAGATATTCTAAAGGGGATAAGCATGGTTGACTATAAACCAGTAGATAGTCTCATGGACCCAAATCAAAAACTAATTACAGAACAAGGTGAATTGTTCTCTGAACCAGAAAAATATAGAAGACTAGTTGGGAAACTAATTTATCTGACTACCACTGGACCTGATCTGTCTTTTGCAACGGGTGTTGTAAGTCAGTTTATGCAAGCTCCTTGTACTAACCATTGGAATGTTGTTATTTGAATTCTAAGTACCTCAAAAAGGCCACAGGACAAGGTCTACTGTACGAAGATAAAGGAGATTCCAAAATCTCTTGGTATTGTGATGTTGATTGGGCAGGATCCCCCACTGACCGACGTTTTACTACAAAATTTTGTGTTTTTCTTGGAGGAAATATTATTTCTTGGAAAAGTAAGAAATAGAATGTAGTAGTCCGATCTATTGTAGAAGCTGAATACTAGGCAATGACTTCTCTTACTAGTGAACTTATATAGGTGAAATAATTCTTTCAAGAACTCAAATTGTGTAATATCCAGACAGTGAAGATGTATTGTGATAATCAAGCTGTTCTCCATATTGCTTCTAATCCAATATTTCATGAGAACTAAGCATATGGAGATTGACTGTCATTTTATTAGGGAGAAGTTGTTGTCAAAAGAGATATATACAGAGTATGTTGCTTCTAATGATCAACTTGAAGATGTGCTAACCAAATCCTTAAGGGGACCTTAGTTTGAATTTTGTTGTTCCAAGCTTGGAACATACAATTTGTATGCTCCAGCTTGAGGGGGAGTGTTAGAAAACTGTAGTTCCGTGATTCTTAGAAGTATTATAGGTAGTTATTAGAATTAATACAAATTGATAGTAGTTGAATTTGAATGTAATTTATGAGTTGTACCTATTTGAATCTATATATATGGGATCATGAGAATGGTGTGATTAACCCCTTTAAAAATACTTTTCTCTTTTTAATATTAAGTGTAGTCTTGTAAACTTCACATTCCACATGTGCAGTCCCAGTGTGTGCGTGTGTGTTTAGATGTCCCATATTGGCTAGGAATGTGACCAAAATATTCCTTATGGGCTCAAGCAATCTCTCCCTTGAATTAACTTTCAAGTTGAGTTATGCTAGGTGCATTTTTAATAACTAGAATAAGATTTCCTGTTTTTCTTCTGGAGTCAGTGAAAATTCAATTTTCCAATCACAACTCGATGCTGCTATTTCACATGTTGGACATTTTCTGATATTATCCAATGTATGTAGGCTGATGAAAATCTGCGTCTAGAACTAGAAGAAGATGTTAAAGAGGAGTGCACAAAGCTTGGTCCTGTAGATTCTGTCAAGGTTTGGTCTATATGCCTTAATAAAATTCTTTCCTAATAATTATTTCGTTACCAATTAAATCAATTGAGAGATAAATACATTTAAGGCGTTGAGTAAACTTAACCTTGTTTAGGAGTGTTTTAAAATGTGGACAGAAAAGATGAGATGTATTATCAATTTACCATGTAACTCTTGAAGCATCTGTTATTAAATTTTATGAATATATAAACTTATCCCATGTCTATTTTTTTATTATAAATTGGAATCCTTATTGTTGAAGTATTTATTAGATTAAGTGTATCTTGTTGGACATTTATGAGATTAGTTGTAGACCTAGTTCCTAGAATGCATCTGTTTATCTTCTCTAGGATTAATCATGTCTCTCTATTTATTGTATCTCTGAATCTGTATTTTTATCTCCTATAAATAAGAGAACACAAGAAGATGATTACAGGCTCTCAAAATCAGTTCTTTATTTTCTTTTTCTATTTCAAGTTGGTATCAGAGCGGGTTCATCCCGCTCTGCCTGTCTCTGTTATTTTTCTGGCATTAATCGCCGTCCGCCGCCGTCCGCCGCCGTCCGCCGCCGGTGCTGTCTTCTCCGGCGCCGTTTTCCTCTTTGACACTTGGGTTTGGCTCGCCTCGAGGAGCGCGACCCAACCCCAGTGTTCGCTTCCTCTATCTCTGCCTCACGCGCCTCCATGCGCCACCCTTGTCCGCGGCTTCCTCCGCGCGTGGGCCTCACGCGCCGTCCTCTCGGTGGCCGTTTTGCTCCAGGCCACCTCTATCCGGCTCGCCTCGTCGTCCTGGTGCTAGATCTGCACTTTGTTTTGTGTTCTCAGTCACAAAACGTGGTGGGTCTGTGTTTTTCTCTCTGCCTCTCTCGGTCCTATCTCTGACAGCACTCTAACAACACGCTGGTCCTCTCTTGTTTCCTGGAAAATGTCAGGAACTGTGTCTATATCTTTTTCTGGGACTCCGACTATAACCACAGAAAAATTAAATGGAAAAAATTATTTGTCTTGGGCTTCCTCTGTTGAGCTCTGGTTTCTAGGTCAAGGAGTTCATGATCATCTAGAAGAAGATGGGAGTACTATACCAGCAGATCAGGCTCCTCAATGGAAGAAACTGGATTATCAACTTTGTGCACTATTATGGCAATCTGTTGAACCACATATTTTGAGCACTCTTCGAGCCTTTAAGACATGTAATTCTTTTTGGAAAAAGGCCCAAAATATCTTTGCTAATGATATTCAACGACTTTATGATTCTGCTAATAGACTTGCCTCCCTTAAGCAAGAGGATAATTCCATGATGTCCTTTGTTGCTGAAGCTCAGTCAGCTGTTGAAGAATTAAAAATGTTCCTGGAGGCAGAATCATTAGAAGAAAGAAAGACGAAGCTGGATAAATTCTATATGGTAATGATTCTTAGGGCTATGAATCCAGAGTTTAATCATGTTAGAGACCAGATTCTAACTGGAGAAGAAGTTCCTTCTACGGAGAGTTTAATCACAAGGCTACTTCGTGTTCCTTCTATCAAAAGCAAAAACAGTCAGGAACTTGCTGATTCTTCCGCCATGGTTTCTGCTCGTGGAAGAGGTAATCACAGCTCTAGAGGACGTGGTGGGAAAGGACGTCTTCAATGCTCTTATTGCAAAAGAATGGGACATACTAAGGAAAATTGCTTTGCTCTGCACGGCTTTCCTGATAAGGCAGCTAATACCTCAAAATCTGAAGTTGATGAGCCCAAGTTCTCTCATGAAGAGTATCAAGAATATTTAAGGATGAAATCAACCAATTTGGCTCAAGCATCTACAACACCAAATTCATCAACCGCTTGCATTTCGCAATCTATGGAAAGTCAAAATCCATGGATTATTGACTCAGGTGCTTCTGACCACATGTCTGGTAATACCTCTTTATTTTCCTCTCTTTCATTTCCTAAAACATCCCATCTCATATCTTTAGCTAATGGATCTAAAGTAGCCTCTAAAGGAATTGGTCAAGTATCCATCTCTTCTTCTTTAAACCTTCAAAATGTTCTTTGTGTTCCTTCTTTTCCATTCAGTCTTGTTTCTGTAAGCCAATTAACCAAATCATTGAATTGCTCAGTAACCTTTAATGCCAATTGCTTTGTTATCCAGGAACGTGGTACGGGTCGACTGATTGGAGAAGGACATGAATCTGGAGGCTTATACTACCTTAGTACTAAGTCATCTGTATCTTGTGTTGCATCCTTATCCCCAAAACTGTTACATGAGCGATTAGGGCATCCTCATTTAGCAAAATTGAAAAAAATGGTTCCTGAACTTCAGAACCTTCAAACTTTTGAATGTGAAGCCTGTCAACTAGGGAAACATACCAGGTCATCCTTTCCAAATCATTCTGAATCTAGATGTGATTCTGCTTTTAGTATTGTTCATTCAGATATATGGGGACCTAGTCGTGTTTCATCTTTTGGTTTTAGATATTTTGTTACTTTTATTGATGAGTTTTCTAGATGTACTTGGGTTTATCTTATGAAAGATCGTTCTGAACTATTGCCTATCTTTAAGTCTTTCCTTAATGAAATCAAAACTCAATTTGGAAAAGTAATCAAAATTTTACGAAGTGATAATGCCAAAGAGTACTTTTCTACTGATTTTTCTAATGTCCTAAATTCTCAAGGCATTTTACACCAGTCCACGTGTCCTCACACACCACAGCAAAATGGTATAGCAGAACGAAAGAATAGACATTTGGTTGAAACTGCTCGTACCTTGTTACTGGGTGCCAATATGCCTATTCATCATTGGGGAGATGCTATTCTAACTGCATGCTTTCTCATTAATAGAATGCCATCTTCTTCTCTTGATAATAAAGTTCCACACTCCATTCTATTTCCAAAGGAACCAATTTTTCATGTTTCTCCTAGAGTATTTGGATGTATATGTTTTGTTCATGACATGTCTCCTGGCTTAGATAAACTCTTACCTAGAGCTATCAAATGTGTCTTCTTGGGGTATTCTCGTCTTCAAAAAGGATATCGGTGTTATTCTCCTGAAACCAAGAGGTATTACATGTCTGCTAATGTCACCTTTTTTGAATCATCATCCTTCTTTCCTTATTCTATGCAGGATATTGATTCTGTCCAAAATGTGTTTCCTGTTCCCTTTGTTGAATCAGTTGTACCTCCTATTCCTGACACCCCAAATCCCAACCAAAATACTCTAGAATCAGCATCACAGCCTATCATCACCTATCAACGCAGGAACCAGGTGAACAATCCTATTCCCCAAGATGAGCCATCCATAACAGGTCCTTCACCATCATCCTCTAATACCACGGCTCCTGATAACGATGACTCCAGTTGGCCCATTGCCATTCGTAAAGGTACTCGTTCTACTCGTAATCCTCATCCCATTTACAATTTTCTTAGTTATCATAGATTGTCTCCTTCCTATTGTTCTTTTATTTCCTCTGTCTCCTCTATTACAATTCCCAAAAATGTGGTCGAAGCGCTTGATCATCCTGGATGGCGACAAGCCATGATTTCTGAAATGCAGGCTCTTGATCACAGCAAAACATGGGAGCTTGTTCCTCTTCCTTCGGGAAAGAAAACAGTTGGTTGTCGTTGGATCTATGCTATTAAAGTTGGGCCCAATGGTCAGGTTGATCGTCTTAAAGCAAGGTTAGTAGCTAAAGGGTATTCTCAAATATATGGGCTTGATTATTGTGATACTTTTTCTCCAGTAGCCAAAATGACCACTGTCCGCCTGTTCCTTGCCATGGCCGCCATTCGTCACTGGCCTCTTCATCAATTGGATATTAAAAATGCTTTTTTGCACGGTGACTTAGAAGAAGAAGTTTACATGGAGCAACCTCCTGGATTTGTTGCTCAGGGGGAGTCTGGTTTGGTTTGTAAATTACGTCGATCCCTCTATGGCCTAAAACAGTCTCCACGTGCTTGGTTTGGAAAATTCAGCTCTATTGTTCAAGCTTTTGGATTAAAACGCAGCGAAGCAGATCATTCAGTGTTTTTTTGTCACACTGCCCCTGGCAAACATGTTTATTTAATTGTGTACGTTGATGATATTGTCATCACAGGGAATGATGCTGCTAAAATATCTCAGCTAAAAGAACACTTGTGTAGTCATTTTCAGACCAAGGATCTTGGAAATCTAAAATATTTCTTGGGTATTGAAGTAGCTCAATCAAGAGAAGGTATTGTCATCTCTCAAAGGAAGTATGCTCTAGATATTCTAAAAGAGACAGGTATGATTGATTGCAAACCTGTGGACAGTCCTATGGATCCAAATTTGAAGTTAATGGCAGGACAGGGTGAAGTTTTCTCTGACCCAGAAAGATATAGAAGACTGGTTGGGAAACTTATTTATTTGACGATTACTAGACCTGATTTGTCTTTTGCAGTTGGTGTTGTCAGCCAATTTATGCAAGCTCCTTGTGTGGATCATTGGAATGCTATCATTCGAATCTTAAGATACATTAAAAAAGCTCCAGGACAAGGATTATTATATGAAGATAAGGGAAATACCCAAATTTTTGGGTACTGTGATGCTGACTGGGCTGGATCTCCTATGGATAGGCGTTCCACTACAGGCTATTGTGTTTTCCTTGGAGGAAATATCATTTCATGGAAAAGCAAAAAGCAAAACGTTGTTGCCCGATCCTCTGCTGAAGCTGAATATAGGGCAATGGCGTCTCTTACTTGTGAACTTGTTTGGGTAAAACAATTCTTGCAAGAATTGAACTTCTGTGAGATTCAATCTATGAAGATGTATATCTGAATCTGTATTTTTATCTCCTATAAATAAGAGAACACAAGAAGATGATTACAGGTTCTCAAAATCAGTTCTTTATTTTCTTTTTCTATTTCAAGTCTTATATTGAACAAAAATGCTTTTAAGCTATTCTTCAACAAGAGAGTTATTAGGAGTTTTTCTTAAACAATAGCGTTTTTACAAGTTGTTAGCACTCTCATTGAGCCACATGTCATGTTTTCATGTCACATATTGACCATTTAATACGATATTTTTTTAAAATTCCTTCTCCTTGTTACGCTGAAACATTCCCATGACACTGGAAGATCTCAAGGTGGCAAATGTGAGTGCCTGACTTCTTGACTCATTTTATTCTGGTGTGGTAGGTAAAAAAAATAAGTTTCTGTATTGAACGCCAGTTCTAATTCTACACATTTAAAAAAATTATAATTGCAAAGCAATATGTTTTAAAGTCCTAGTTCACCTGGAGACGGGAAAAATTTAAATTCTAGAATTCATCTTTGTAAATATTGTACCATTTTTTGTCCTCTCTATAGTTTGAGATGTCCAAGCTGATAGTGTACGTAATATTGTATTATAGTTACATTTTGGTTACATTCTTTTATGACAACTGTTGGCAGAATTTACTTGGAAATTGTATATATCTTCTAATTCACTTACTTGGTTTATATATTTCCATAATTTTGTGTGACATATCACCCCACACACATACCCTGGTTTTCAGAAATTTTGTTGTATTGGAGTGTTTACTGTTGTGTTACTACTCAAACCTATCTTATTCATACAACTATTGTATTTGTGTATCTCTTATTTTTCTTGTTTCCTGCTGGTCTTTTTTTCTGTAGATATGTGGAAATCATCCTCATGGAGTTGTTTTGGTAAAATTCAAGGATAGGAAGGATGCCCAAAAGTGCATAGAATTGATGAACGGAAGATGGTAATCCTATCTACATTTTATGCATTTTCTTTGTGCAATATATGCATAACCTTCATGTTCTAACAACTTACTGCATCATATTAATTAAGCAGCATACTCGACCTAGGGCATGATAACTTTCTGTAGTTGACCATTCTGATTCTAGACATTCTTTGACGAGAAAAGGTACTATTAAAAAATGCTGTCGTAACATCAGGGGCAAAAACGAGATGGCTGTTAAAAAATATATATTTAATAGGTGGTTATAAAAAATCTGTATAATTTAATTTAATTATATGATTCTCTTAGAAAGTGGATTTTAAGTTTAATTCAACCTCACAAACCCGATTTATAAGATGAGGTTTGAACCCAATAATTTGACCATATTTATAGTTGATGTGACATCTTCAACATACTCCCTTTAGAAGACTGAACATCCAGTGTGGAACTAAGTATTTGTGGGTGATTTTATGGCTGGTGAAACAATAGACCTAACAAATTTTATTTGGACAGATTTTACTTTGATGCAATCTTAGGAAATGAATTTTAAACCTAACTCAACCTCAAAAGGACTGCTTGTAAGATCAGGTTTTCACGCATTTATATAGGATAATTTAGAAACAATTAAAACTAACTCAACATCATAAAGCTGGCTTCTGAGGCAGAGTGTTTGCATGTACTTATATACTATAATCTAGTTTATTCCTACAGATTTTTATATATATATATATATATATATATATATATATATATATATATATATATATATTTGTAAATTTAGAAACAATTAGAGCTGACTCACGAACTGGGATATTGTAAAAAAATATCTCAAAATTCGAAAGTTTATCGAGTAAAATAGGAGTCAGTTTTAAGCTGCTAGTTTAATCGTTAGCTCATGAAATGATTTCATATCTTGATATTTTAACCATGGGCATCCATCTCTTTAGTTTTGTATTGAAGCCATATGATATCCATACTCCCTTGTATTTAATATTTGAACAACTGAAATATCACATCAAGTTACTTGAATGAAATTACTGATCAGAAAGATATAATATATTTGTATTTTTGCATGTTCATTGCAAACTCCTGATTTAAAGCCATTGAGCCTATATTTTTCATCATATTTTATTGAAAACAGTGAGTATTTGTGAGAATTGTTTGCCTTGCATACATCTAAGCACATTTAAGAGTGTAGATTAAAATAGTAAAGACATTGAGCCCTGATGTAAACCTATCCTTATAGAAGACTCCTCCTTAGTCATATCTCCAAGAGTTCTGACACCAGCAGTTATTAAACAAATATGTCTTGCACAGCTTAGATTTTTTTTTTTTTTTCAAATTCTTCTATAACATTTTTTTTTTCCATCATATGCTTTTTCCATGCTAACAAAAAAAAAAATTTGGCTTTGGTGTACCTTTCCATCAACTCCCAAAGAAGATAAATAGATTATGTTGTAGATCTTCTTGGCATTAACACAAATTGATTCTCCTCATAGTAGTCTTTTATCTTAATATATGTTTAACCACCTTTTCCCATTATTTTGTAATGTGTCTCGTTCGTAAGTTTTATCTCTCTGTAATTTACACAGTTTTAAATATCTCTCGTTCCGATATATAGGATCTAAATGTCACTCTTTCATTCATTTGTGATTTTCTTCTATCTCAAAATTTCATTAAATAGTTTAGTGAGCCAAATGATACTTTGTTCTCCCATGCTGAAAATGTCAAAGAATAGCTTCACTTGCAATTGCTTTTACCTTTTATCTTCTCCTTTATTTCTCATTTTTATCTCCATTTTGTTTTCTTATTAAATTTTGTCATCCTTTTCCTCATTTATTTTATCAGGTTTGGTGGTAGACAGATACATGCCAGTGAAGATGACGGTTCAGTAAACCATGCATTAGTCCGGGATCTGGAAGGAGATGCCATTCGACTGGAGCAGTTTGGTGCTGAACTTGAAGGTGACTGAGTTAAGGAGAATAAGTGAACAACATTGCACCAGATTCACAGTTACTAATAACTCCGGACCTAGGAAACTTTCGATGGCTATGTCATCACTTTTCTCAGTTTTGCAATGATGTAAGTTTTCCTTATGCAATTGGATAAGGACGAAGAATATAGAGGAGAGAAGTTACTGATTGGGCTAGCTCATCTTATTTGAAAATTTGTAACATACCCTGTGTGCAGTATTCAGTTATTCCAGGTTACACATACTGTGACATATGACAATAAATTTGAACTGTTAGATTAATTTAATTTACCTTAACAGTTGGTAACACACTTGAGCATGTAAGAAGTGTTTCATCCTGTAAGCTCACATACTTAGTACCACATGGGTACAATATGATACTACAACCTTTTTTTCTTTTTTTTAATTTACATTATTAATATTTAACAAAAAATTATAAAGCATTTTAGATAAATGTAGAATAATGATAAAAAGACGTTGATTTTTTTTTTATTAATTAATAATTGTGACGATCATTATTCACAAAATGAAAATTGTTTATCATAAACAAAAAAGAAAAGTTTCTTCCTTTGTGATCATAACTAGTCTTGGTTATTTGTATCAATAAAATTTTCTAATGAGAATTGTTTATCATAAACAAAAAAGAAAAGTTTCTTCCTTTGTGATCATAACTAGTCTTGGGTATTTGTATCAATAAAATTTTCTAGTAGAAATCAACAAATATTGACAGTAATCTAATGTTACTTGTGTCATTAGCCTCTTCTATGTAATTATCATTAAGAATTATTTTCTAAATTTGGTTAATCAAAAGAAAACTTTATTAATTCACTAAGGTCGTTACCATCAATCGTAGATATATTTTCACTAATGATCCACAAATTTGTCTCTTTTTTATATAATATTACATTTCATCTTTTCTAGAAAAAGAAGGTAATGCACATAAACTAAATATTATGTCCTTTTTAGATATATTTTTGTTTCTCTCTTAAGAGTGAAAGAAATATATACTTTTATTTCTCTTAATAGGATGAGGAAGGACACGATTGGCCACAAAAATTTAAGTCAAGTTCTTTTCATGTGACTTTAAAGCATATAAGCTATATCATAAGAAAAAACAAAGATAGGATATTTTTCAAATACATATTATTAAAGAAGTAATCTTAGAACAAAATTAAAATATTATATACTCTTTGGACACTCTGAAAGTATCGGTGTTCAGGCACATCATTGATATTTTTCTATTTTTAAAGCATCTAGACTTCATAGGTTATAACTTATACGTGTTAGTAAAAGAATAACTTAAAAATAAAAATGGTAAGGCTATTAAAACTGGAGGTCTACGCAGTTTGACCTGATTGAGCTTCATTTATGTTTTAAAATAGACTATAATTTTAGCTTATTATATATTAAGTTAATAGATTACTGTTTGTTGTCTAATTAATTTTGTTTTAAAAAATTATAATATATTTATGCAAAAATAATTTATTTTAAAAATAAAAAATATATTTTAATTTTTTTCATAATTAAAATTATATTAATAAAACTATTTTTATTTTAAATATAATAATTTAATATATATAAATTATAAGAAAAATAATTCATTTACTTTAATAATATATATTAAAATCTTATTTTTTATTTTTATTATTATTTTTAATCATAATCTAAAATTGTTGTAATCATTAAATTATAAAAAAAACTATAAAAATAAAAAATATATCTCATTCTTGAATAAATCATTTAACAAATTAGTCTAATTAATATATATATATATATATATATATATATATATATAATATAATATAATATAATATAATATAAAATAAAGTAGTATTATTTTTATTTTATAAATAATTATAATTAAATGGAGCAGAGTGACTTATAACAGTAGAGTTTACTTGGGCTTGATCCATTTAAGTTTCGTACCAAATATATCTCATTCAATTTATGTTATAAAATATTTTTCCTCACCTATTTTTCCGGGTTTTGGTGATGGTCAATACAAACGATTTTACACAATAGATACACGTACACCCCTTATGCTGCAAAATCTGGATAATAGTTCCACGTAGGATAAAGGAAGTATAAGTGAAAGAAAAAGACAAAGTTGAAGTAATAAAACTTGAATTAGCCTGTTTTTTTTCTGAACAAACCTTAAACCTGCAAACGTCGTTGTGGTTTAATTGTTTCATTATTTTTCTCCTGCTTTCCCATCTGATGATCATTGCTGCGTTTAGCACGGGGAAACTAAAGAACTGGTCCTGCATGGACCACTCCCAAAAGAACTATCCAAACTAAAGCCTGCAACTTTCAAAATTCTGAAAGGGTGATTTGAAATGTGTTTAAATTACTACGTTACCTATCTCATGTTATTTAGTATGGTTTAAATATATCTTAAACTACTTCACATATCACCAATTGATTTAACATGGTAATAGAACCAAAACCTAACATTTTTTCAGTTATTGTTATGGGCTAAAAATTATCTTTTAGTTGAGTCAAAATACCCTTTGTCTGATCTGGCAGGTTTCGTTGGAAAGAGAGTCCCACGTCACTTATCTCATGTTATTTGATATGGTTTAAATAGAGGTTATGGTACTCCACCAATTTATTTAATGTTGGAATCAAAATTATGTTGGAATGTTAACAAAATGAGAAACTACGTCCTGGATCACTCTTTTCACAATGAAAAGGAATGTTGGTTTGTTTCGCATCTAAGAAAAACTGTTATCAACTAAATTGCAAGTCACAACGTAAATTCCGATCTGTTCAAATACTGGGTCTCTTTGGGTCAATAGTTTACTTAAGGATGTTGAACTGCTTTTGTATAAATCCTAAGATGTTCTCATAAATTACTCTAGAGAGAGTATTGAAGATGCAACTGATATTAGTTTACACAATTTTCTTACAATTTTACTTCTATTACAAATAACATCTAACAGTTTTTTCTATTAATTATAATAACTGTTTTCTATATTATATATTTTTCATCACACTATCTTATTTTAATAAGTGTTTATATTAAACATAATGATTATTGTGCATTAAATTAAATAAACATACTCTTCTATTATGTCCACTAATAACAATTCCAAGAAAAAAAAACACTTGTAATCTCCATAAAATTTGTTTTTATTTTCATATAATAATCCATACTTTATTTACCCTCTACAGATTCTCTTTGAACTTAAGTATATATATATATATATATATATATATATATATATTAGTGTGGTTATTCTACAGTGTGCGTTTTTCTGTGTTAATAGGGTATTAAGATTAATTAAGGATAAATGTTTTGTTTTATTTAACGTATTATAAAAAAATATATAGTTAAATGAAGGTTAAAGATAGGTGTTGTGATTTTAAAAATTAATTGTAGGGAAAATAGGAAAATAATTGAATACACGAAATGGGATCCGTATATAATTAATTAATTAATTAACAAAGGTATACAACTTGTTTACTTAAAAATGAAGTTCATTTAGAAAATTGATAAAATAAAAAACGAAATATTATTCTTAATCTATGGTTAATTAAAACATAAAAAGGAAAAAATGCGACATCCATGTGAATTTTGCTTTCTAAAATTATAGGTGTAAGTTGCTTAAAAAAAAGAAGTAAAAAAGAAAAAAAAAAAAAAAGGAATTGAAACAGAGAAGGTACTAGTTTAGTTTCACCAAAATAACCCGCAGACGCAAACGTTGAAAACACATACACGCGCATCCATCAGCCCCAACATTACGACGGTAGATCCCTTCTCTCCTTCTTCCTTTTTCTCATTTCTCATCTTCTTCTCTCTCTCTCTCTACCAATTCCTCGATCACGTTTTTGGCATTTTCGTAACAACAATTCTCTCTTCTCCGTCGCTATTTTCCCTTCTCTTTCCGTTTTCCCCTCTTTTTCCTTCTGACGTGTTTTACACCGCGGAATTTGATTGATTGACGTATCTGGTGAAATTTCACTTTACATTGCAAACTTGTCTGAACTGGATTCAGTTATTGTTTTTGTTGTTTGTTTTAAACTTTGTGCCTAACTTGTTGTGAACACATTTGTAATGTAATAGTTCGATTTTTGTGCCCTGGTTTGCGTGTTGTTATCTGCGAGTGCTTGGGTTAATAGAGTGTAGCCATATTATGGTATCGTCTTCTTTGCCAATTAGCACGATCACAGGGTTTGGAATTGATGCGCTGGTTACACGGCATGCCACCGTTACTTGCTCGGTTTTATTTTAAATTAAAAGTAAGGTTTGTGAATGGTCTAACTGAACCCGTAGTTTGTTCGTAGTGAGTGATACAGAAGTAGATGCGATTAGCTAGAGTTTAAGCAGGAGTGAGTTAGATTCAAGAGAAGTTGTTGAGACTACTCGTCCATTGAAAGGTCGGTTAGTATGTCTGTAGAATATGTGCGTATGCGATACGGAGACAGATTCTATAGAGATAATGCTGATTGAAAGAGTTAATGTCTTTGTATGATGAGTTGTAAGAGATTTTCTTTCTCGTATTCGTTTAAGAACCTGTTAGGTTATTGCATTTAGAGTATTGTCTATGGACATGGAAATAGTGAAGATAAGTCGTTAATTTTAATATCATGAGATCGAGAGTTGTTTGGAGAGAAGTTGTCATTGCTGTTTTTAAGAGTGAACTGGATCCTTCTCCAGCCACTCTGTTCTGCCAAGTCCTAACGATTCACTGGTTATTGTATCAGTGATTAGAGAAGAGAGAAAAATTGATCTGAGGGTTGAGATTTTGCTGGAGAGAGTCCTACTAGTGATGCAACACTGGATTTGGTCCATTGGTCCATTTTAAGAGCAGTGTCAAAAGGAATTTTGTTGTAGGACACTATTTTTTATAGGCTTTATAGCCATAAAAAAGATGTACTGATTATTGAGATTTTCACGTTGATAATCTACATTGACATTTGATGTTGTCCAATTAGAATTGGGGTTTTACCTTGGTAATCTACATTGATATTTAATGAAATATTTATTATACTGATTATTGAGGTAAACTCCAATTCTGATTGGAGAATAAGGCCAATAACACATATGGAACTGCATATAAGTTTTGTCCTTCTATGTTGGTGTACATGGCTTGATTAAAATACTTTAAAGAATTGTCTCAGTCCTTAGTTCTGGCATTGTAGAGGGTATTTTTTTCATATTTGGGTCTTTTTTTGGCGTTTAGTCCACTCTCTCGCTAAGGTAGCTAAACTATTTTACTATTGATTCAAATCCATCTATTTTGTGATGGTTTTGCTTGTTCTGTAATATTTCATTCTGTGTTCTAATAATAGCATCCTTTGTCCTCCCACCTAAAAGTTAATGATAATAATCTGACTAGTTGTTGTAAAATGTTCTTACATCCTTTATGCTTCATAAAACTACCACAGTCTTTAGATGTTAGCATAATTGTTTGAGAAGGGACAATATTTGAGGATATGAATTGGACATTAGCCCCAGTATAACAACAGCCACCATCCCTTATCTCATTACATGATATTCTTTGTTGGTATAAAACTCAACATCGTAAAAATGATTTTAATTGATTCATGAAATCATCTAACTTTTGGTTATAGATATGGAGATGCCTGACATTTCTTATTTAACGTGTTAGTTTTACCCATTTTGTATCATTTAAAAAAAATCACCTTATCTCTCAGTAAAAATTATCTGATCTATATATACTTAATGCCAGGGTTTGAGATTGTAAAGACTTAGTGGAAGGGTAAGCTGAAGTTGAAGGTGTTGAGGGGAAAACAGGGAGAGGAGGTTGAGGTATTTTTATTTGTTGACTTTGTCTTCTGTAGAATTTTCTTTCTGGATATCTAAGAAAATCACAATCCCATGTGATATAGAACCCATCATTTAGAATTTTACCACAAAAATTGGTAAAAAATTGCTTTCACATGGTCTGTCCTTTGCCAACAATTATTTTTCTGGCGTCATATAAGTTTGTCTTTAAAAATGATGGGTTCAATTATCCTTAGAAAGTTTGTGATCTTTTTCATTTAATTTGCATTCCATCAAACTCACTACTTCACCAGTCTAACTTCCAACCATGGTTGGTCTGTGTCAAGCGCCTGTTTGCAAGCCAAGATTACTATCAACCTCAATTGTGACCCTCTGTACCAGTGTTCACACATGAATCAATTTAAAATATTTATCACTCTCTACCATGGTTTTTGTTATGCTAGGAGGAAAAGATTTAGCACTTTGCTTTGTTTCTAATCATGCTATCTATCAAAGATAATATGCATAATATTAAACCTTTTATCTGGGTCGAATCAAGGTGAGAAGCTAAATGCTGAAATCAATATTGCTGTGGGTAGATGGAATTTTTCTGATTCTTTTGATCAAACCTTCTCCTTTTCTAAAGAGCTAATACCAGTGGTCTTACCTTTTTCATGTTTCTCTAGTTTTCCTTCCCATATGCCAACCCCTATGCAAAGTCATACTATTAATTTTTTTGGCCTTATCCATGTGCCAAGTAATAAAAGATAATGCCAAAAGGAAACATGACCCATCCTCCAGAAGATGGTTCTTTTAGATTTAGGATCTATTAAGCTTAAAAAATGCTCTTCTAATTTTGTGTATAAAATTTAATATTTTAAGAGATGTTAATTGAGAAGCTATTTTATTTTACAATTATAAGAAGTAATTAGTTTTAAAAGATGCTCCTATCAGATTTTAGAATATTTTTATGTAAAAAACTGCTCCCTTTCTTGCCCATTACTTTCTCTCCCGTCAATGAGATGTGATTATTTTGAAAGACTACTCTATTTTTATGATCCAGTAACTTAGATCAAGTTAAATGAAACATGCATAAGAAGGCCTGGTTATAAAGGACCATATTCCTGACATTTTTTTCTCTCCTATTTTGTTGGTGACGTATGGGCTTATTAGAGAGAACCCAACAATCCCCAAGAATAAAAAGTTCTCAAGAACTTCTTGAAAATGTTTGTATTAGACAATATAGTTAAAAAAAATAATTGCTCCAAAATTTCCTACTAGGAAATTGCTTTCCTATTCAAACACAAGAAACCATCATACTAAGAGATGACAGGATCAGTCCAACACACTGTTCTAAGCATAATAAGTTTCATGGTTGTTGACAATTGGTTCTTCAACTCGTAGCCTTCACTATTAAAATTTACAAAAGTATGACTTTAGCATCAAAGTTTGATTGATCAGAGTTGTAACTGTGTAACATCTTATCAGCTTCTAAGAAAAGTTAAAAATAGATTTATTTAGTCACTACCTTTTGAAAGTACCTCCTGAAAAACTTTTTTTTTTCTTTTTTTATGTAAATTAATCTGAAACAGATGCACTCTTATTAGTTAATGAATAAAATTTGAAGTTTCTTATGCTTCTTTCTGATAAATTTCTTTCTTCAAGAAATTGAAATGGTACAAAATTCTATGGTTATGTTGAATGTGATAAAGTTAAATTGTCGTTATATATGATATACTCTTCAACATTCAGCGATGAGTTTATATTTTAAATCTTCCAACCACTTACCTGCATGTTGGTTGTATTGCCTGATATATCTAGTTTATTGGACAGTTGTTTCCATAAAATTTCATGTATCTTTGGGCAAGTTTTTTATTTCGTTTTGATTCTCAGTTGTAGCAGTTCTTTTTCTCAAGAAACAAGTCTGGAAAAAGAACTCGAAATATTTACCTTAGGGAATAGTCTGTAGCTTTCAAAAGAAGTCTTAGAATTAATATAAGTATTGACAGTAGTGTATATTGTAAATAATGCTTTCAGGTACTCAAGAAAGTTTTCGTAGTTTGACTTGGGGGGCTTTGATGCCGATGGTGGATACAACAGTTGTATTTTCTAGAAACTGTAAACACTCACTTCATAAGGTAGATATTTTATATTTTCAAGATTCTCGTGGAACTGCAATGCATGTCACTGATATTCCCTTCTGTCTTTCCATAATTCTTTCTTAGCAGTTGCTATTTTGTTTTCTGATCCTTGTTCTCATCTTAGGTGAAGGTGACATTCTAGTATTGGAATGGGCCAGACTCCATGATGATTATATATTGTTGATTTGTTTCTACACGCTGGCAAACCTTAGGTCTGACAGATGGCTTTTAATAATGAAGAAGAGAAGACTGAGGACTACCTTTTCAAGATTGTTTTAATTGGTGATTCAGCTGTTGGGAAATCAAATTTACTTGCACGATTTGCTAGGGATGAGTTTTATCCTAATTCGAAGTCAACTATAGGAGTAGAGTTTCAAACTCAAAAGATTGATATTAATGGAAAGGAAATTAAAGCACAGATATGGGACACTGCTGGGCAGGAGAGGTTCAGAGCTGTTACATCTGCATATTATAGGGGTGCAGTTGGAGCTCTTCTGGTGTATGACATCAGCCGACGTCAAACATTTGATAGCATAGGCCGGTGGCTTAATGAACTCCATAGTAAGAATTACAATTGTTTGATCCCTTTTTCTATGAAGTTTTCTCATGCTTATTTTCTGCGAGGTTTCAAATTGAGGAAACTCTTAACTTGTCATTCAAGTTGGAACAGTTATAATATATGGAAACATTATATGATTGCTAAGCATTTTTGGGAAACAATATTTTTACCGATTTCAGCTGCGTTTGGGATAAAAATATTGTTTACAATTTCAGTTGTATATTTGGAACAATAGTTGAATTTTGTTAAAAGCAAAATTCTGGAAAACAAGTTGTTTTAATGAATCTGAAAATTGGTAGTTTATGATTATTTTTCAAGCTTCTTTGTCTTTCAGTTTGTACATTAGTATTTTCATCTGTAAAAGTTTATTTATTATTGCTGCCAAACCAAATTAATTATTTTAACCATTTTTCAGTGAACTTATCAAAGAATTGATTCTGACTATAGTCAATTATACATGTGATAGATTATTTTCAATAATCGCAACCATCTCAAACACCACCCCAATGGCTTGTTGGTACTTTTTTTGGTCGTACTGAGGTTAGAATCTATCATTTACCTAATGCATACCATCCAAACCCCCTCTCCCACTAGACTAACCCAAGTGGTTTTATGGGTTATTAGTACTTAATATGTGTTGGGTCTTTTGAGGAGGGTTCACAGGGGAGAAACAATACCAATGAGACATGAGTCCAATCTATATAAGGGATTGACACTACTCTCAACCCAAATCTTTAAAGCATTGGGTTATGGTTCATACTTCCTTATATGTTGCACAACTTTCTCATTTTTACACAATGTGAGACTTAGACTCACACTTATATTTACTAACAATCTTCCCTTCAAGTATGAATTCCTCCACATTAGTACATCCCCTTGAGCTCACTAGTGCTGTTTACCCTAATGGGACACGCTTACCTGACCCACTCTGTCAGGAAGACTTTCAATACAAATATCACTTTGTCCCACTGCCGATCAACCTTTGGCTCTGATACCACTTGTTGGGTCTTTCGAGGGGATTCACAGGGGAGAAACAATACCAATGAGCATGAGCTCAACCCATATAAGGGATTAACACCACTTTCAACCCAAAACCTTATGACATTGGATTATGGATCATACTTCTTATATGTTGCTCAACTTTCATTATTGGGAAACCAAGTGTGATTTTAAGTCTCACATTGTGTAAGAATGAGAAAGTTGAGCTATATATAAGGAAATATAATCCATAACGCAATGTTTTAAGGTTTTGGGTTGAGAATGATGTCAATCCTTATGTGGGTTGGGCTCATGTCTTATTGGTGTTGTCTCTCCCCAGTAAACCTCCCTCGAAAGACCCAACAGTGGTATCAGAGTCGAAGGTTGATCGGCAATTTAAGAGTGGTTTTTATATCGAAAGTCTTCCTAACAGAGTGGGTTAGGTAGGAATGTCCCGTTAGAGTGAACCACGGTACACGAAGGGTTACTAGTGAGCTCAGGGGCTTTTTCATACTCCTCCAAGTCAACAACTGGCACTATGGGTACTAATTTCATGGTGATTAGTTTGAACCTCTTTCCCCTCCCACCTCTATGGCAGAATGGAACCTGTAGGAGAGGAAGAAGCGCAACTAGTCCTTCTAAGTCAAAAGTCTTTTGTCTCTCTCGTTTCCACCGAATCTGATTTGGAGAACAACTCAGCTAGCTATGAAGAGAAGACAGGGGGGGATTTGCATGGCAAGTCTACGAACATGGGCTTTGGCAAGAAGGCAGAAATGGAGGAAAAGTCACTCGTGGAGAAGAATCACTCAATGGGGACATACCAATGTGGAGGAATTCACAATTGAGAGGGAGATGGTTGGGAATCTAAGTGTAATTCTAAGTCCCCACATTGTGTAAGAATGAGAAAGTTGAGCAACATATAAGAAAGTATGACCCATAACCTAATGTCTTAAGGTTTTGAGTTGAGAGTGGTATCAATCCTTATATGAGTTGAACTCATGTTTCATTGGTGTGTTTCTCCTTTGTGAATCCTCCCTCGAAAGACCTCAACAAGTGGTATCAAGCGTGTCACGTTAGGGTGGATGACGGTACATGGAAGGGTCACTAGTGAGCTCCAGGGGATGTATCAATGTGGAGGAATTCACACTTGAGGAGGAGATTGTTGGGAATCCAAGTGTGATTCTAAGTCTCACATTATGCAAGAATGAGAAAGTTGAGCAACATATAAAGAAGTATGACCCAATGCCTCAAGGTTTTGGGTTGAGAATGGTGTCAATCTTTATGTGGGTTGGACTCATGTCTCATTGGTGAGTTTCTTCCCAATAAACCCACTCTCGAAAGACCCAACAAGTGGTATCAGAGCCGAAGGTTGATCGGCAATGGGACAAAATAGTCTTTGTATCGAAAGTCTTCCTGACTGAGTGGGTCAGGTAATCGTGTCCCGTTAGAGTGAATGATGGTACATGGAAGGCCACTAGTGAGCTCGAGGGGATGTATCAATGTGGAGGAATTCACACTTGATGGGGAGATTATTGGGAATCCAAGTGTGATTCTAAGTCTTACATTATGTAAAAATGAGAAAGTTGAGTAACATATAAAGAAGTATAACCCATAACCCAATGCCTTAAGATTTTGGGTTGAGAGTGGTGTCAATCCCTTATGTGAGTTGTGCTCGTGTCTCGTTAGTGTGTTTCTCCCTAGTGAATTCCCCTTGAAAGACCCAACAAGTGGTATTAGAGTCGAAGGTTGATCGGCAGTGACACAAAGTGGTGATTTGTATCGAAAGTCTTCCTAACAGAGGTGAATGACAATATATGGAAAGGTCACTAGTGAGCTCGATGGGATATTCCAGAATTCACACTTGAGGGCAATGGAACATGGAAGGGCCACTATTGAGCTCAAGGGGATATACTAATGTCGAGGAATTCACACTTGAATGAGAGATTGTTAGGAAATATAAGTGTGAGTCTAAGTCCTACATTATGTAAGAATCAGAAAATCGAGGAACATATAAGAAAGTATGACCCATAATCCAATGTCTTCAGGTTTTTTGTTGAGAGTGATGTTAATCTCTTATATGAGTTGTACTCATATCTCATTGATGTTGTTTTTTCTTAGTAAATTCCCTTTTAAAGTTCCAACAATATGGTCCTACTGTAGTCTCATTCTTTCCCTATTAAAAGTTATTCCGATTCATTAGTTGAAGAAACATTATCCTGTTGCATGTATCTTGTGGATGCTAAATTCTGAATTGCATAGTTAATGGTTTTAGTTTTTCTCTTTTCTGTTTTGAAACTTTGCACTTTTATGTTAGTCTTATTGGTCTTTTTTATATTAATGAACATATAAGACACTTGCATAAAACTGCACCTTTTAATTTTAATTAGTAAAAAAGGTAATTTTGCTTTAGGTATGTTTGGAAAAAACTTCTTTTCCTTACATAAAATAAAATTAACTTGCACATAAATTGAAAGAAAACGATAAGTAAAATAAGTGTTTATGGGTAAGTTTAGTCGTGAATATAATTATAGTCCACTTGTTTTTTTGTTGTTTTCTTGCTTCAAAACATTGTATTCAACATTTTTTGGTTGTGGATGTGATAAAACAAGGATTCAACGGAGTGGTTTATTATTATGTAACAGCTCACTCAGACATGAACGTTGTCACAATACTTGTTGGGAACAAGTCAGATCTTAAAGATTCAAGGGAAGTTGCTACAGCTGAAGGCAAGGCATTGGCTGAGGCACAGGGTTTGTTCTTTATGGAGACATCAGCTCTGGATTCATCAAATGTGGCAGCTGCTTTCGAAACTGTTGTAAAGGAGATTTACAACATCTTAAGTCGGAAGGTTATGATGTCTCAAGAGCTCAACAAAGAGGATGTTGCCAGAATGGAAAATGGAAAGACTGTTGTTCTACAAGGGGAAGGCGAAGGCGAAGGGGAAGGAGAAGCAGCAGCAGCAGATGCCGAGGCAGCAAAGGGTTGTTGTTGATCCTAGGTTTTGATAATATGTCCGCTCCAAAACTGAGTTTTTGTTATAATTATTCAACTAATCCTGAAAATGTAACTCAGATATTCAAGATTTATCTTTAAATGTGTACTGGGAGATTTTGGAGTATAAATTGTCCATGCATTGAAAGAATTACATAACTGAGAAACAAAAAGAGGTAGTTAAGCTTGAAGATTACTCATAACAAGTGGCTTTAAGATGTCCAAAATTTCCTTTTGTTTTAAAAACCATAATTATTCAGACCTACAATTTCAGCGTAAAAATTTGGAAATATTTGTTTTAAATGTATATTTGCAAACTATTTCGTCACATTTGTAGTTCAACTATTCCATTTGCCCGCTCAGATTTGAACTTGTGATATATAGCAAAATATAAAATTCAGAAAAAAATTTAATAACCCATCCTGCTTGAATATGTGGTATCTGACTAAGGTTAAAAAAAAAGAGGAATGAGGGAAAATACAACAGGAAGTCTGTTAACAAATTGGACTTCCATTATACAAAATTCCAGGAAAATAATGAGATAATAGAAAGTAAAAAGTATTAGAATATTTTTTGGTGGGAGAAATCATCATCCAAACGACACACCCAACATAGCAGCTTCAGCTGCAGAGTAACAACAGGTCACTGGATTTTCCCTTTCAATTGCAGCTTGTGTTGGTTGATACATAATCATTTACACGATAAATTGGACTCGTTTCCAAATAAATTAAATAATGGATTTTGTAAAAGCTGTCTTTGCTACTTTTCCCTTGCATTTGCTCTCTGTACAGTTCAATCAGCTCCATGATTACAAAGTTGGACCACAAAATCTTCCTATGATAAAAAAATAAATAAAATAAAACAATTAAGATGCTTATTATGGGTTATGTATATACAAAAACTTATTGCCCCTAACAACACTATCTATCCATTCTTCTGTTTTTCCACAAAAAAACTAAAATAAAATGGTTACAAATACTCACATTAACTGCTGCTTTAAGGGCCATGCAATTTCTGTAGCTGGTCAACAACATCATAAGAAGTGCTGAATGGTTGGAAATCAGATCGGTGTAGCACAGTTCCTTGGATATTCCTGGAGCCGCCTGGTTGAGAGTCAAGCATAGGTTTTTTCTTGGATGAATAACAATGGTGAACACGGACTCGATGTTTCCTTGGCTGAATAGTGTAATTCCCATGCACCTTAACAACCAAAATAGCTTCCTTGTCTCTGGAGTCTTCACACCAAGAATTTTGTACAACACCATCAACAAACTCCTCTAGAGTCTGAAATTCCTCATGATGCACTGATACTTCAACAATTTGATCTGGTTTTATTATACCAGTTGCAGGACTCACCTAAATCATAAAATGTGTAAGTAATTATCGTAAGGGGCTTTGCATTGCAAACGAGAGATGTCCTATCTGAAGCAAAAAAATGTATAATGTTGATCCACAAAGAATTTGGTCCCAGGAGTAAACAGTTTTTATAAAATCCAATAGTCAGACATTTTTTTCCTAGGGGAGATTTTGGTTCTTTCTAAAGGATTTAAATTGCAGACCACATCACATGATGTTGTTCTAACAACTAAGCTGCGGCGACCACTATAAACCAGACTGGTAGCAAATCAAATTGAGGCCTCTTTAGACGAGTTTCTCCATAAGTATATCTAAGAGAGAAAAATACAATGAAAAATTGAAATTAACTTTCTCATAAATTAAAATTAATTTATGTATAAGTTAACTTGTAGGAAAGGTCGGGTAACTTTTCTTAAACAAACTAATTTTTACTTATGAAGAAGCTTGTTTCATTTTTTTTTTCTTGTTAGAAATGCTTATTAAAAAATTTGTCTAAACATACCATCAGCTCACAGTAGTTCCAATGTGAGTGTGAAGATTGGAGACAAGGTATCTGGCCCCAGTGATGAAGGAAATGGGGTTTGCAAATTAAAGAAGGCCTTGAATGGTCGCAAGCAATCTCTCCTCATGTTTGGTTTGAATGGTTTACTAAGGCTATAGTATCATTGGTTGGACAAGCAAATTCAAGGTGATCATAAGTTTTATATAAAACATTCTTACAAGGTATAGTTGTATTTCTTTTAGTCTGCGTAGATGCTACGCTTATTGCATGTGATGATGAGCTAGGAAACAAATTCTGTGTAGAAAGGAACCGAAAATGGGAATATATGCCCATGCTAACCATGCAGGTTCAATTGCTGACAGGAGATCACAAGATATTGCATGCTTTTAAGTGGAGATTTGATGCATTCTAGGAGTAAAAAGCAAATTGTAGTTGCACGAGCAGTGTAGAGATAGAATTTAGAGCCATGGCTCAAGGGGTGTATGAGACTATTTTATGATAATTAGTCTGTCATCAACATTGCACAGTCCAGTACCGGTTCAACATGAAAAGACAAAGCATATAAATAAAAAAATTGGCACTTCTGACGCTTCATCAAAGAAAAATTAGACAATGGCCTTCTAGATACAATAAACATCCCTTCACAACTATAGGTGGCTAATGTGTCAAGATCTTAGCAAGCTAGGAATGATTAATATCTGTTCAGTAAGGGAGAATGTGGTAGCGCAGAGTATAATAATTTTAATTAATTCAAATTTATTTTTTACAGAAGTGATAAAGTATATAAAAGATTAATTTCATCCATTTTGTTACATCAAACTAGAAGTGTATATTATTTTTTAGCTTCTTCCTTTCAAATATCTCTAGTTTTGAATTTCCTTCTATAACCATAAATAGTGCATAAAACAATATTTTAAATAAAGAATATTACCTCAAGCCACCTTGGGAAACCAAATGAACCCCTCAACTGATAGTCAGTAGCCTTCTGATCCTCTGTAACAGTAGACTGACCTTCACAAATAATTTCAAACAAAGCATTGCCTTCTGCACATTTATTCGTAATACGCAAAATTAATGTGTCCTGGTTTTGAAGAATTATGTTGTTTGTACTAATGATAGTTTCAGGAATCTTGCATAATTCTTTTAGAAGAAATTTAATTTTCTCATTTGATTCAATAATCTCTCCAAACTCCTGTCTCCGGATTGATTCGTCTACTCGAGCAATATCAGTAGAAAATATGCAGCGGACAGGCTTGTGGTCACTATCGGTGACATCCATGCAAGCTTCATACCTATTGAAGGTGAGATGGCCTTAATTAAAGAAGAAAAATTGAAGCAAAAGACAGTGTTTCCACAAAAGCTTTTAAAATTATTGTAGAGAGTGATACTGCACAATATAAAGAGGTTAAAATATATTTTGACCCTATATTTCAATTGGGTCCCAAATGTAAAAATATTTCAATTGAGTCTCTATGCCTAGTACAATTGTGAGGAACGAGGAATCAGAGACACGTTTGAATCCATGTGTTTATAGAGGTTTACACAAAGTAACGACTTCAAGAATCAACAAATATCCTAATCAACTGGAATGATAAGGAAAAATAAAGAAATTATAAATCTGAAAAACACTGATTCTGTCATTGATTTTCTGATTTCTCAAACTGAGATACAATTTATATAATACAGTCATGAAGAAGCTTGTAAAGCAAGCTTCACTGATGTCGGACTAAGCTCAACATAAATATCCACTTTGCTGATGCGGGACATCTCACTCAGTTTTGCAAAATCAGAGAATTTATTCTATGACAAGATGTGAAGATGTGATTAGTCTATTTACATTTTATACATGTCTTAATTGCACTTTCCCTTAAATTGGAGCATATAGGTCATATGCACCCAAGTTTGGTACATATATAACTTATTTGGCGGCCTCTCAAAAGACTAAGTAAACATTCTGTCTATTGGTCATTTAACGTGTATAGAGAAGACCTCTCTAATAAAATGACAATCAATTTTGATATGATTTCCTTTATCATGAAACACAGAGTAGGAGACAATATGCAATGCAGTTTGATGATCACAAATCAAATGTCATTTGCATAATCTCAACAAAGCAGAGTTGAAACTGGTATCCACCAGAATTGAAACACAAATGCCAGGACAAAAAGATAGTAGTGGGCAGTGGATCCCTGGAACAGGATTCCCTTCATCAAACTCTAGATAACATGTTGAGGAAGAAGAAAATATGAGATACATGATTGGATTCTTGTGTCTAAATCATATAGACATAATTGTAGGATATGGTTAGCCTAGACAATAGACATTATGTATGTATCTTCCAACAATAACCATTTTCAGTGTTGTCCCGGTCATCTGTCGCTGTTATAAAACTGTAGGATTAGCATGGAGTTATTGTGAAGCACAGGTAACAACTAGAAAATGATTGTTATGTCTAAGGATAAAAAATAAGAAAATTATATGTTGACAATTCTTTCCAATCAAACAACCTTTTGACAACTTATTTTAATAATGTAATAATAAATAAAACTTCAAATTTTTAGGTTTTTTTGTACTTATTATTATTATATTATTAAATAGAGTTGTAAAGTAGGTGTTGATATAACAAGTATTGTCAATATGGCTGGGCGTGATTAACCTAATAGCAGGCGAACAGGGCTAGGAAAGGCCATCTGTCCTTCAATTAGCCTTAAGGCTCTCCAGAAATATAATATTTCCATTCCCTACACGTGATGATACTTGTAATTGCTCTTTACATTTTATAGTTTTATATAACAAGTAATTCTAGAACAAAAACACACTACTTATGACCAACTTCAAAATAATTATACATATAGGCTTGGATCAAGTTATAAATGAATATTGCTTAAATATGCTTTAGGCACAAGAAAAATATGAAGAAATGTAGCCAAAATATAGGTTGGTAGTTATTTAAGTCAATAATGATGCCAACTCACTCTATTAAAACTATTTTTGGCTATCTAGCATTTTCCTTTCACACACATCTATAATTCAATAGTGACTCACTCCGCATGCCTCAGAATAAAGAAGTCCCCTTTCAGATACAGGGATCAGAGACTGCATATTCCTTCTGGCAGGGTGTTTTAATCTATATACCCAAATGGAATAAATATATATATATATATATATATATATATATATATATACACATATATATACACAAGCTAGAGCACTCACTGTAATACTGAGGCAAGAATGGGACACGCTAAACTGCATTCAGCCACCAAAGATGTGCAGCTATCACGATACAGAATTCTGTCACACCAGGCAGGGATGCGTTTCTTTTCACCAGAATCGTACCCTTCAAGAAACAGATCATATATTCTGAAGTCATCCTCAAAAAATTTTGAAGCAGTACTGATGACAGATATAAAATTATAAACAGCAATTATTGTAGCTTGAAATGATCCACTTTTCAATATCTAATTCGTAAGATTTACTGATTGTGTCAAGTATTAGCATTAGTTTGTTGAGAATCCCAATGTACTCTGTATTTCATTGTACTGCACCCTTACCCTAAAAGTATTTATACATAGGGTGATAACCATTTAGTGTATCCGTAAACAGCATGATTTTCTCCTACCTACCTCATTCCCATTACACAAATATTATAGTCAGCAAGCCTCTAGAAGATACAAGCACCCAAAAGGATTAAAATTTTTAAATCTATTATTCAGAGTCTCTGATATCCCTCTTTTCCTCTGCCCAATCTGTTCTACAATTTTTCCAATTCATATAAAGTCATCCTGAGCAGAGAGGGCAGCGGAAATCATTACTTCTGAGGTGGAATTTCTCACTTCATAAAAATCTGGATTATTTTGTTACTTTCCCCTCCCCTGTACTGTATCCTGATCATGTTATCGGTCTACAAATAAAAAATCTTTGTAATAGGAACTGCATAATTTGCAGAAATGATTAAAGGAGAGATATAGCAACCCAACCCACATCTCTTATACTTGACTGTTTCAATCTCACTTTTTAAGGCTGAAGTTTACTTTCAAGTTCATTAACAATTGTGTGAGTGGGTTTCGGGGCAGGGGACCAACCTGCCAAGCCAGCTTGGTGTCGCTCAAACTTGTATGTGGGAGGAAATGTTATAATTGCTTCCCGCATTCCTTGGAAGACATTCCCAGCTTCCATTTCAGCACGAAGTTGATCCCTTTCTCTAAGCCAGTCAAAACATCTTTGAGAAACAAAATCTCTTGCTTCATCGTATGAAATGTCATCAAGTCGATAATTAAAATCACCAAGAAACACAACCATGTCTGCCTCAGATAACTCGGGCATCCCTTCTGTGGACTGGAAACCAATTTCAAGAATCAATTCTTCATCCCACTATCTGAGTGCATCATAAAGCATTACTTAGATGAATAAAGTGGACAGCATGTACATACATTTGTACCACGAAACATCGGAACGGAAGATGATGTGCCAGCTGCAACAGAAAGGACCAATGGCAAGCCAGCTCTATAAACAGGCCAAAATAAATACATGGATAAGGCAAGTGCAAATATCAGGAATAGGCACAGAAAAGTACCAGCTGTAGTATTTAAGAGGTTTGTTGGCCGACTGAAAGTCATTGTTCGGTATACATGATCAAAATCTGCATTGCGACGACCAACTGCATCTAAATGTGCAGCGAAGTGACAATTAACAAAACAAATTATCCGATCATACACTCTAATCCTCAAACCAACAGCTCCCTGGAGAAACAAACATGTTCTGTGTCAATGGTCAAAAACAAAAACTGAAACAAAAAGAAGATACTTTCAAAAATCTACTGTTTTTGCCGGAAAAAAATTATTTTTGAATACCACACATAAAGAGTGGTGTGGTAGTATTGCAAACAGCACTGCCCAATGGCATTGTGGGGTATCACACCCATGATAAAACCATTTAAGACTTGCGTATCTATTTGCTTTGTGTGTGTGTATTGAATTAAATGACCAAATTCAAGACAAAGCCATCAACTAACAGCGTACTCGTTATTGCTTAAGTGGACACAATTAGAGATAAAGTTTTCATACATAAATGATATGTTACTTGCAGACCACACAACCAAGTTATGTTATCGGCTTGCAATGCAGAAGTTCTAGAATGGTCTTGGCCTCTGTTTGCTTTTACTTGGAATTGTAACATACAATAAAGTCTAGTAATTAATCTAGTGATATAGGCAATAGCCTGACGTTTACATATTCATGTTAGTCTGTTCAATGAAACAAAGCTGACAGTAATGAGATCCATGATCATGACCAACTGCCACATCTAAATACACCCTCTATTAGAAAAAAGTAATATGCAAAGCAAAACAGCAGAGTAGACGGCACAGGCCCACCTTATTGCCAATAGCACGTCCAAAGCCGCATGGAACTGCTGCCACATCAACATCCCCAACATGAAATCTAATGTTGGTTTTAACCCTGAAGAAGAAAACTTCAACAACTATAGATGAAGAGAGCAGCAGGGAAGAATTTAGATAACAATGGCATCTCATGAATTCAAATTTAAGAAGGAAAATAATTGATACATATCCATATCTTTTAAACCAAAATAGCATTCATAACAAGTAGGAAGAAAAACTGACAATATCTGACATAACAAGCAATTTAACAGACCAATAAAAATTAAAATTGCTAAAATTTAACGCATATCCTATTGACTAACAAAACAAACAACAGTCATTACTTCTGACATATTAAAGCTTCAACACCTCACATGTATTCCTACTCAAAGATACTCACCACACAGCAATTACAAAGCCATCAAAATAGCATACATAAAAGTAGGTGTAAAAAACGACAATATATGACATAACAAGCAATTTAACAGACCAATAAAAATTAAAATTGCTAAAATTTAATGCATGTCCTGTTGACTAACAAAACAAACATCAGTCGTTATTTCTGACATATTAAAGCTTAAACAGCTCACATGTATTCCTACTTGAAGATACTCACCACACAGCAATGACCAAGCCAGCAAGTTGTCTGGATCCAATCCGTTCAAATGTTGAACCTTCATCTAATGTTTTGTCTATCATATCCAACCACCACTGCCCAACAGAACTTCCCTCCAATCCTACCTATATGTTCACGAGAGATGGGGGGGTAGACGAGGGGTTATGAGCAAGAAAAATTAGGTAAAACCATTAATTATACTATATAATTATGTGTATATATACATAACATGATGATTGTCACAACAGAATGTTGACATGATGCTTGAACAATCCAACCATCAGTAAAGCATCCATTGAACAAAGATCACGATCGATTATATAATGATTTTCAGTTGCCCATATGCTCTAATAGGAACAAAGACTCAACACAAGACATTCTTAATAATTTTGATGTGGGGCTCTACATAAACAAGTATACACTATTAAATTTTCCCCTAGATTAAGAATAAAGAAAAATATCCTTAATTTTAAAGCAACTTAAAAGTCATAATTTTCAAAGAAATAGTACTATTATAATGTCCATGGCCTGGAAGTTGCTTTGTGTCTCCCCTTCTAAACCACTGCATGTTTGCTACACAATAACCTGCCATTGCAGCTCTGAGAAAATTTTTTCCACCCAATTCTCTTCCTCCCTCCCATTGCTCTGTTTCTCTTGGCTAGTTTTTATAATGAACATGATGATCTTGTACTCGAGTTGTCTCAAAGGACATGTTGGACTCATTGATGTGCTCAAACTTGAAAATATAAAGATTGTATGACGAAGTTAAGCTAATTGACATAGATGTGTAGATTATTTGGTCTCAAAAAAGTCTTGTTTCCTTAACCTTTTTTTCTCCTTTTGAACATGATCTAAGAAATTTTTTGGAAGTGAAAGCTAAAATGTGTAAAGAAAAGGTATTATGGCAATAACACAATTCCAAAACTATAAAGCTTTGACAAATCTTTCATTTCATTTGTACTTAATTCTGCAGTACCAATTGAAGGCATAACATAATATCACCATTTTATTCCTAACCATACAAAAGATGAAAACAGGAATATCAATGTATTCAAACTTCGCAACATTATATTACAATCATTTCACTTTCTCGATTCCAATAATTTTCAAATCAATTCATTACATTACATTCCATTCATGCCAATTAGTGAAAGCAGGGGTAGTAGAGTTTAATACAAAATACATGCATGTAAGTTATCAGCTGTAAATGCCAACCTAATATCCTACGAGTATTTAGCAAATTCAAATGTATAAAAGTTTAAACCTAACGAGAAAAAATAACTAAACATAATTCACACAGAAACTACTTTGCTTACAACTGCTACTTGTCTACTAGTAATATATATTTACAGAAAATTATGACTTACAGTTTCTTTAGCTGCAGACATTGCAAGAAATCCAGCACCCATTTCAACCTCTTGCAACCCAACAACAACAAGACTGACATCTGAGGCAACAGAACCTAGCCATGAAGTAAGGGAATCTTGAGATGCTTTTCCTTGCCCAACATTCCAAGTGCCACTCAATATTTTCATATTTTCTATTTTAGTATACAAAAATTCTTTGCCAGCCAATTCTGAACGCAATATGCTATCAACAGGCCCAGGAGAGGTGATGTTCCATCCTCGTATACCACCGTGGTTAGCCAATGCAAATATAAAACCAGCACCAATTGTCATTTTTACAATTGGACTGCCATGAGCCACCCATCCCCCAATCAAATTACCCTTAATGTCCAATACCTGGACAGTTCCAGACACATAACCTACCCAAATTTGCATGCCAAAAGTAGAAAAACACTGAACGGCAGATGAATGGTAAAGAAATTCTTGTATGCGATTGCCATTCCCATCCCATTGCACCAGTAAGCCACTTGTACACCCTGTCCAAATCATTCCATCTATTGTTACCACTAGTGCTTCAGTTCGCCGATTATCATCCCCAAAGCCTCCCTTTGCTGCAACTCGACGAACAGCATCAGCAGCCCCCATTATGGCATTACGTGAACGCTGAAAGAACCCAATGGAACTTTGATTTTTGTCTTTCCTTGAAACAAGCTCCACTGAAAAATCTTGAATTGAAGACAAATCTGACCGATTTTCAATTTGTCCATCTGAATTGAAAACTTTCAGTAGCTCTCTTGTACGAGCATCCCTATAAATTAACAAGCACTAGCACACATTAAATTCAAAGATATTAATACAGAGAGAAAGTGAAGCACACATTAAATTCAAAGATATTAATACAGAGAGAAAGTGAAGCCCAGCTAATTCAAAGTGAAAAAAGAGTAATGTTCGTAGTGCATGTTTGGCTTAACATCACGGATCCAGCTTTCTCCATGATTCACGTTAACTTTAATGTATAAGCAACTAAAAGTTGCATCTAATGATGCATGTTAAGTTAGCGCGCTAGAGAACCAGACATGTGGGAAGTCTCAATCTAGTTACGTTTTCTTTATACATCCCATGCAAATAGAGTACCATCAGGAGACAACATGTCAGAACAAAACAGGACATACAGGATTCAGGATGACGCACCATAAACATGCAAATATCGAACCTGACTAGCTCTTAGATATGATTATTTTATAAGGATTTATATCACAGAACCAATGTCTTGTTATTAGCAATACAAGCCAGTTCATAGAAGTTTAAAAGAATATCTGTTCACAAATTAAAAAGGCTAAGGCCCTTTCTTAATATAATAATAATACACTAAAATTTATATTACTATCTTTTTACCAAAGTAGGTTGTGATCACGTGGTATGAAAAAAATCCTAAATAATTAAATACACTTGAATGCTTAAAACATAAAAAAATCAACCTATAGTAATGTTCACTAAAAACAAACATCACCACAGTTTAGCAGAAAATCTCACCACAAAGCGAATGAAAAATAACCAGCACTCCACACCTTTGCTCTCGAATTATCAGATACTAAGTACTTTACATCTGAAGTCAGCATGTTACTTAAGCCATTTGTAGATAGTTGGCTCCGTAAGTCAACATAGGACCTCTCCACAAATATAACAGCGCTGTGCCTTTCCTCCTTTGTCAGATGAATAGATTTTTCAACTGCCTCCCAAGGCCATATTTTTATACCTCCTCCTTCTGAACCCGACCACAGATCCCCTGGAGAGAGAGAGAGAGAGAGAGAATAATGTACAACATTCACAACAAGCATGCGAATCAACCAACCAACATAGTTTTTTAGTATTTAATTAAGTGCTTATTCAGAAAGAAATTATTACATGAGAGCTCACCATTAGTACTCTAAGACCTTCAAAGCAAAATTATTGAAATAGGATAAAAAAACTCATAAAAATAAGCTATTTTTGTAATCTTCACTAAATACCTTTTATATTCAACTTAAGTGCTTCACAATAAAACAAGTCCAAAGAAGTCTGGCAAAAATTCTTCCCAATGTTCAAGAGTCAAAACCACAGCTTATAATCAAAATCTTAGATGGCGTTTGACTCAACTTATTTAGGACTTAATTTCACTTAAAAGAAACTTTTAAAAGGCTAGTTTTTCTCAATAAAGAAAACTAGATGAACTTAAATAAATAAATAAAATAAGTAAATAAGTACTTTTAAAAGCTTTTAGACTTCCACTTTCCGCTTTCTGCTTTATTTTAAATCTCAAGATCCGAAAACTACATGAACTTAAATAAATAAAAATAAGTAAATAAGTAGTTTAGAAGCTTTTAGACTTCTAATTTCCCCTTTCTGCTTTATTTTAAATCTCAAGATCCGAAAATAAACTACCCACGAAATTTTAAGGTTAAAAATAACTCCCTCTGTTTCCTTTTATCGGTCCATTTAAGAGAATAACAGACAGGTTAAGGGATGAAATTAATACTTTAATTTATGCTATTCACTTCTTAACATAACCTCTTTTAAAAAACAAGTGCAAATACGGACACTTTGAACAATAAAGTAGGTAGCATTATCTTCTTTCAGATGTAAACAAATAAATAAAGAGAAGAGTTACCAAACAACTTTAACAGTAGAACAAACAATCCATATACTAACACTAGAGAAGTCTTCTACACATTTACATTACCGTTCGATTAGATAGTAATTTATACATGATAAATTTTATTAATTTTATAATAGTTTAAAAATCATATAAAGATGATTTCAGATTGCATGGCAGGCTAACTGAAAATACATGCCTATGAAACACTTAACATTAAATTTAATCTCTGATATTTAATTTCAATTTAAAAAATAAATAAATTAAGACTTATGTTTTAATCCTTCGAATTTGGTTTTTGTCCACAAGTTTTAAATTGATCTTTTTAGTCTTATAATTTAAAAAAATAAAAGTTTTAATTCATCTAACATGAATATCATTAAAGATTTCACTTTATATTACAAACAAAATACCAGCAGTTTTTATCATCGAAAACATCTAATATATGATTATTTCCATTTCAAATTATTCATTTTCCTAAATTTGAGGGACTAAATATATATATATATATATATATATATATATATATATATATATATATATATATATATATATATATATTAACTTGTAAATGCGAAAAAATAAAATAAAAACCAAACGCCTAGGGTACCGGATTTTAGCTAAAAATTGTCCTAATGCAAACAGGTGTAAACATAATTGTAGAACAGTAAAATTAACAGCAAAGAACGAAGGAGTACCATAAGAGGTGAAGGTAAGGGAAAGAACAGGGCCACGGTGAGCCTGCCAAGACAAGTTCTCCTTAAACCGATTGCTCCAATCGCAGTTATTGTTATCCTCCAAACTCTGATCATCCATCTTCCAGCACCTAATCTTCCCATCCCTGTGTCCACTCCACACCAACCTGTTTCCCTCATCCGCAACCAAGCACAGCGTCGGCGAACTCCACACCGATTCCCGAAACGGCGCACTCTCCTCGTCGCCGATCCTCGCAACTGCGCCTTCTTCTCCAACACCGCACCACGACGCGTACAGATCCTTGAAGTTCCAGAACCTCACGCCGCACTCGGAAGCCGCCCACAGCTGCGACTCGGTGGAAACAATGCTCCTCAGGAAACGCCCAATCTGCGTCTCCCGCAGCGGGTGCGGCCGCAGTTTGAGGCTTGGCGGCCGCGCAGGGTTCACCGCCCCGCGCGCGGGAAGGCGGAAGATGCCGGCGCCGCCTCCCTTCGCAACGAACTCCGGCAGCGGCGCGACGCGTGAGCCGGAGGACTGGCGATGTTCGGCGGAGAGCTTGCGGTCGAGGAACTGGAGCATGTAGTCGAGTCGGCGGTTGGTAGATTGCATGGAGCTGGAGGGCGAAACGTCCTCATCGGAAGATGAAGAGCGCAAATATCCTGATGAAGTTTCGTGGTCGAAGGAAGCTACGTCGTTTCGGCGGAGTGTTGATGATGGATCCATTAAATTGGAATCAGTTACGCGTGGTGGACGATGGGAATAGTGAGAGAAAATCTAGCGCCTGTGAATTTGTTGGAGAATTTGGTGTGCGATGTTAATTGCGATTTGTGTTTGTTTGGCTTGAAGTTGGATTCGATGAGAGAGAAATTTAGGGACGAAGTGGAACTTCAGGAACACACCAAACAAATTCCAGCTGAGACACCTCACACCTGTTCCAACGATCCACCCTATACTTTCTTTCCTCAGATTTTTACTGCTAATTAATAATGCGCAATTCGGATATTTAATTGCTTCCATTTCCTATTTTATTCTTAGTCGATTTTTGGAATGATTTGATGAAATATAATATAGGCAAATTTGATTTTTTAAAATCAGTTATGTCTCTCGTGTGTATAAAATATTAAAATATTTCTCTATTCTTTATATTAAATATATATATATATATATTTATATATATCCTTTGATAATTATCATCATGTTTTATTTATTATCATGTTTTATTGTTTTAATATAATATATTGAGAAACAGTAGATAGGGTAAAAGAAATTATACGTTAAATCATCAACTTAGTATTTTTTTAAATTATTAAATAATTTTATTAATCCTGGTTTAATCTGATTAAACCCTTCCATATTGAATAAGTGGCTAATCAATTTAGCGGCCATTCTAATTTTGAAAATATTGATTAAAGTAATACTTCCACTAATCTATAATTTTTTTAATAATTTAAATATATGAACAATTCAAAATAATAAAATATAATATGTCTTTTTAACTAAATAAAACACTATACTAAAATTATAAATTAAAAAATCATTCATCCACTCCCAATGAAACTTATGTCATAAATTGCAAAATACAAGTTATTGATTCTACAAGATATAGCAATACATAGTCAATTATCTCTTAAGTTAATTTTGTCATTACTCTAAGACGTGTGAGTTATCTGTTTTTTATTATTGTAAAAAAAAACTTTTTTCTCATTTTTTACAATATTTAAAAATATATGGCAAATCAAATACAATGTAATATTTTGTGATGAAAGAAAAGGAAAAAAAAAACTTTAGATTCATAATAGTTGGTTGGGTTCCTACATGTTTCACTGTTAGATAACGTTGACTTCTTATTCATGCATCTGTCTCTTTAGACTTTCACTGTATACACTTGTTCTGGGTTTGGGATTTTGGATTTTGTTTGAGCCGACTCTCCTTAAAAGAATAAAAAAAATAACAAAAAGTGAAGTTATTTAAATTAAAAATAAATAAATCAAATTTAAAATATATTTTTAAATTATTTATTCTAATTATAATTTTTAATAAAATATTTTTTAAAATAATAATATATTCAAGTTTTTGTGTTTTTTAAATAAAAGTAAGGGGTAAATTTTTGTTTAAAAAATAAAAATATTTATATCAAAGTTTGCATTTCATTTCTTCTCCTATCCAAACATTAGCTAAAACTATATTCAACCAGTTATTTATTATAGAAAAAAGAGGTTGAATTTGAGTTAAAACTTAAACTAATTAAATATATAAATTGAATTTTAAAGTAATAGTGTGTAACCTTACCATCATTGTGTAATTTTTTATTTTATTTTATTTTAAATCCACAAAGCTAATTTTTTCATACAAATAATATATATAATTTTATATTAACCTAAAATTATTTGATTTATATAAATCAAAATTATGTAATATATTGTTTTATAAATACTAAAATATAAATTATTTAATATTTTATTGTTATTGTTGAATTTTAACAAAATTTGATATAGATAATTGTCCAAATATAAAATTAAAATTTAATATAGTTGATTGGTAAATTTTATTTTTTATATACAAAGGTTCATTTAGATAGTTTCAAAAGTTAAATATTTATCATATATATGATTGACTTTTTAAGAAAAATGTTGCAGGAAATGTTCAACTTCATTTTTTTTTTAATTTGAATATACGTGAAAATATCTTCACATTCACAAAAGCACAGACAATCTTTTATACATATACAGCATTATATTATATTATATACATGGCAGTTACTGGAAATTTACATATTTAAAGTGTGATGAAAGTTTTGGCGATAAACCAGTAGCACACAGAGATGCATATAATAAGGTATGGGTGGGTAATTAATTACATGACAGAGCAAGCATTGACATTGTCATCATTGAACATGTTGCTAACGTTGTCATCTCCACGGTGAGAGACATGGATGGTGCCATGTTTGTCTGGGAGGTTGTAGCCATGTCTGTAGTAGTTGTAGCTTTCTTTGAACTCATGGGTTGTGTCTTTGAAGTAATGATCTGCAGTGGTGAAGTAAAGGGGTGGATTAGGGTATGGCCAGAACTCTGCCCTTTTCCCTGCCCTCCTCACCGCCTTCAGCACCTTGTTCCGATCAACGTACCCTCCCACCGTCACCCTCTCCATCTCCAAATCCACTTCCACCGAATCAATGCCTATACATTTAAACAATCTTGTCAAACCCATGATTCCATGATTTTTTGTCAAACCCAGTTGAATGTCAGTTACTCTTATACAATGATATTGATATCCACAATACTTTTCTCATTTTCTGTCTTCATCTTCTTCACTGTAATTTGTATGAAACCTACGTTTCATAACACTTCTTACTTATAATTCCTTTCATACTCTCTTGTACACATAAGGAACATGCATCGTCTGCTTAATTTCTTGGCATATTTATACTGTTTGCAAGAACAAGTGTCGTGCCTTGTTCAAATGCTTTTGCTTTTAAATGTTTTCATAGTTGTGAAATTTATATGTACGTGTAATGTATGGAAAAATGGTACACGTAGGGTAAAAAAAATACTAACAGTCAATAATATTTAATCATTTAGTCATTATATAGAGAGAGTAATAGAGTACACATTAATTTTAAGAATTTTAATGTTATAACTAATTTAACAACAAAATTATTATTAATGGCATATTTGGTCACTTTTTAAATTAATTTTCTTAATTGTAATCGTATATATATATATATATATATATATATATATATATATATATATATATATATATATATATATATATATATTATGAGAATGAGAATATGTAATAGAAGTATTTGAATTGGATTCAAAAATAATTTTTGTCCCATCCCATATTCCTATCATTTTCCCTTAGCCCATTTGAGTCACAAAGGATATGTTTGAGGTCCTAGGAGATTGCCGAGGGAAAAAAAATAGTATAACTTTTGGTCAATACTATTGACAACCAATACGAGAAAAAACAATCCATTAATATTTTTTTGTTTAATATAATAATTATAAAATTAAAATTTGTTATATTTATTATTAAGGAAGAATTGTAAGATGGATGTGTTTGAGAAAAGTGAGATGTTTAAACATCATTTCTCTAATCTTTTTTCATTTATATCATCAATTTTTTTTCAATTTAAGATTTTTATAGAATGAAGTAATAAACTGATAGATTATCATGAAAAACTCTATGTATTCATTCTTTATAAACCGTACTTAATTCTCTTCGTTAATTAAGAAAACTTATTCTTTCTTTTACTTTTCTCCAAACTTCATGCATGATCTATAACTTTTAAACTTAGACATACCTTTGAGCTTGTAAATGGCGTTTTTAACAACTCTCTCGCAGCCCGTGCAGCACATCCTTACTTTCAGCTCAACTGTCTGAAACGAATAAGTATCTCACATGTCATTTCAGTTTGCATCTCACTTTTTTCCTAACTATATTTCTCATACTTCATATTCTGATTCTTCAATTTCCAAAACCTCTATAAAATTCAAGTAAATCCTATATATATACATATATATATATATATGAGATTGAATATATTTTGTTACTGGTTTAAAACTGGGATAGGAACCAAATGCTTATGGTTATTTCATATATTCTCTATGTACTCATGAAAAGTTACTTTTTTCACTCCTCTTACTTTTTTATTTTTCTTCACCTTCAATTTTTTAATCAAAAGGAGATGTTCATGTATGACATCGCTTTCTCTTATACCATGAAAGATGAACTTTTTCAGTAAGTTTGAATTCAAAACCTTACATGAATTTTGCTAGTTTCCAAATTAAAACCAAAGTCTGATTAAATTTATGGAACACCAGTATGCAAAAATTGGAAGTTTTCAGTTTCTTTGTTTCAAGATTTATTCAATATAGCATCATCCTATGATACAGTGTGCTGAAACGAAGGAAAACAAGGAACTGTAGTACTGATATAGATGGAGAAAGATTGAAACATGTAACCCAGGAGAAGATCATGATCATGATCAAGAGAAAAAAATAACAAATAATGTTGAGAGCGAACCTGTAAGGAAAGAGGTCGACCCTTCTTTGGCATGTTGAAGTTTCTACGAACGCCTTTGTTATGATCACGATGATGATCGTGATGATGAAAGATAAAAAAGCGATATATAAACGAAGAGATATCAAAGCCGAAAGCTCTGTCTAGGAAGGAAGCCATGGTAGATATAAAGAAGAAAAGAAGAACAACTAAGGAAGAAACCAGCGATGGAATATATTCCTCTGAGCCATTTACATCTCTCAAAAACGATAATATTAATCAAGGTGAAGCTATATAGTACACTTTAACATATATAGGGAAAACTAATGGCAAGGAAAAGAGTATCAATTCTTTTTTTCATGTGTAGATGAAGATATTTATATATTTATATATACATAGCATTTTCTCAACTCAACTAAACCAAGTGATGTTACAACCTTTCAGACAGGAATGGTATCTATGTGCATGCTTCATGAAACGGGAATAACAAGTGTCGTGGGATATGGATGAGCTTATAGAAAATAAAGGAAGATTTTAGATGCAAAGGAAAAATATATTCTGGTAATCTCCTTTTTTCACACCATCTTTGAAAATGGCTAAACAAATGTGACCTAAATATCTAGAATGCTGCACAAAGTTATATTCCCAGATTTCATTACTTAGTCTTTCAACGCTAGCCATATAGTTGTTTCCCATATTTTACAGGAGTTTGGAATAAAGAATATATATCTTTATGTAAGGAGAATCTACTTGTTTTGCTTATGCTTAATGTTAATTCCGCTAAAAAATTGACTCTAATAGTTACTTATTCTTAAACTTTTTTTCATTAACAAAATTTGAATCCATGATGATGCACAAGAAGATCAAGTAAAGATCTTAGATTAGAGAATTTAAGAAATGGAACATTGTTGGCTTGTTTTTTCAAAGCTAAAATCTTATTTGAAATCATCATGATAAAAGAAAAGGCTTAATTGTTTTAAAAATTTATGGAGTGAAAAAGAATATGATAAAAAAATACATCATTTGATACTATACTAATTATGTTTATGTATATTTTTTATGATAGGGAACAGATGTGTTAATAAAATTGTAAATGTTCGTTTTACAAATTTATTAAAATTATATTATTTAATAAAATATATCAATTTTAATTAACAGTGTGAGCCTATATTTTATGAGTATAATATATTTACATTTAAAAATAGTTATACATAAGAGTTTACTTACGATCTTTGTTTTACTCGCATTCATAGAATGTAAACATTGCTTCTAATTAATAAGAATTTAAGATTTTTTTAATGCTGTTTTAATAGTAAAATTAAAATTTCACGACGAGTAAATAACATCAGTTTATAATTATAACGAGGGGTCATAAATAAAATAATTTTGATTAAAAATGTAAAATATTATGTCTAATATTTTTTCCTAAATATATATTTTAAAAATGATTAATTGTGATATATATTAAAATATAATTCTGTGAATATATTTATTTTAATTAGTTGTTGTTGGCTATATACTTCTTTTTCTTTTTCCTTTTTGTAAAACAAAGAAAATAGTATGTAATATATACTTAGCATGACGTGTCGCAAAGCCAAAAGCTATCATTTTCATCATATATAATTTGTGACCTACCACGTGTGTATGTCCCCCTCTCTAAATAATCGAGGTAAGTAAATTCTACATTTATGATCATTTATATAATTTTAATCCATCTTCGGATGATTATCAGTAATTATTATTAGATTCTATTTTGTTTTGTGTGTGACTTTATGAAAATAATTGGTACCTCTTTAAGAAACAAAATTTAATAAATACATAATACTTAAATAATGCAACATAAATTAGTTCATTTTTCTGCACAAAATGTTTGTAAGCAAAAACTATGTAACCTACTTAGTTATAAATATAAAAAGAAAAGAAAATTATACAAAAACACAATATAAATTAAATCAATATTGGTGGATTGAGATTCTTTTTCTAGATACACATTTTGTATAGACTATTCGGTATAACTCGCCCTATATTTAGTAATTATATTATTTAATTTATAAATGTGATTAAAAACATGTGGTTAATTTAAATATTGTTAACTCCTCCTATATTTAAAAATTTAAGTGTTATAACATTTAATATAATAAGTGGTTGATTCTTATGGATTAATGGTGATCATATCCGATAAGAGTTACTGTCGAGTTATTTAAAAATAAAAATAAATATTTTATTATAAATTTTACATATCACTTATTAAAAATAAAAAAAATGGTTTAAAATTAAAATAAAATACTTAATAAAAATTTTAACAATATTTTAAACAACTCAATTATCACATCTATAATAAAAATATTTAATTTTATTTTTAAACAATTTTAATTAAAAACTCCCTTTAGATATATCCTTGTTAAATGAGAAATAAAACCCAACTTTAATTCTTATACATAATAATTAATTGAAAACAAATAATTAATCTTTGAGATTAGGTTGAAAACACTTCTTAATGTTAATTAATGACATAGTGAATGCAAGGTTAATGAATAATCACTTTGCTTTTTTAGGTATTATATACAAATTTAAATAGGGATGACAATTAAATCCGTCCTCGCGCCCGAGTTTGACGGGGAAAACCGAGTTGACCGGGGGCGGGGGTGGGGGCGGGTTCGGGTTTTTTCCACTTTAAAAAGTCGAGGACGGGGACGGGGATGGGTAATGCAATCCCCACCCCGACCCGGTCTCGTCCCCGCCCGACTTTATATTTAAATTTAAATTTAAAAATATTAATATTTTAAAAGTATTTTCTTTTCTTTTTCTATTACATATAATGTCATTTTTTTATATTTTACCAATTTTTATTTTTCTTCTACCTATTTTTTAATTTTTTTATCTTTTTTAATCTTTTATATCAATTAATTTATTATATTATTCTCTCTTATACCTTGTAGTTTTTCATATTTTCTTAATCTTTCTCATCAATTTGTTTTTTTTTCAATCTTTTCAATCAATTTGATGAACACGAGTTAATTTTTTTATTCTTTATCTTTTTTCTAAATATTTTACATAAATCTTAATAGGAACTAATATTATTTTATTTATAATTTATATTTATTAGGTTTTATTATGTCATTTGTTTATCTTATTATTCTTATTTATCATATATCAAATTTTATCTTAATAAAATAATTGTATTTTAAAGGATTAAAGGAATTGATAATTTAAACTTTTATTATTTTGAATTAATTGAATAATAATTAACTTATTAAATATTTCATTATAAAATATATATTTCATATTTTTAAATTACAACTTAAAAATGAATTAAGTTATATATATAATCAAATGTTTGAATACAATATTATAATAATAATGATAATGTTATAAGTATTCAAATATTTGAATACAGATATTATAATAATAATAATAATGTTATAAATAAAAAATGATTAAATATTTCTTTTACATACATATTTTAATATAAATATAATAAATTAAAATGTATATTTAATTAATAATTATTATAAATTATAAAATTATAAATATTTATTTATATATAAAAAATAAATAGTAAAATTAATTTATTATAAATGTAATTATCTTTTTAAAAATAATATAAATCGGAGACGAAGAATCTGAAATCTAACAAGAATAAAATTAAATCTAAGACTTAATTTCTATTCCAAATCGGATTAAAAGCGTAACGGAAATAATAAAAAAAGTCGGGTGAGGATGTGAAAGCATAACCCACGCAGCCCCGCTGCCATGCATACTTAAACATGCCGTCTTTGAAAAATCAACAATTTTGACTTTATATTTTGTCCGTCTTGATGACTATTTGTCTTGGTTGTTGAAGATGTCAATGCAAACTTGACAAATCTTGTTGGACACAGTGCTATAAGTGACAAGTGTCATTCAATTATTAATTCTGATCTCTATTTGCATTTTTGTTTCTTATATAGCATTTGGTTTTTCATGTATTAGGTACCAAACATAACATATTTAAAAAAATGAAAAATATTATTTTATGTTAACAAAATTAAATATTATTTAATTATCAATAAATATTTAATTATTTTTGGTGTAAACAAATACACATAAAATCCATTTTTTTATATTATTATGTTATAATTAATATGAATTGTTTTCTTTTTCTTCTATATGTTCTTTTTCTATTTTTTATATAATCACATGTTCTCTATTTATTTTTTTAAATCATTTTTTTCACACGCTTTATCAATTATATTTTTACTAGATAATAAATGAAATTTATTTTCATTTATAAATAATAATATCATTTTATATATAATAATAACACTAAAATAGTTATATAACAAAAGAGAATTCTTATTTTTATAGACCAGTTATTAAAACTGAGTTGTTTTATTCCTTTGATCTGATTTATCTAGTATATAGGTTGGTTGAATTCGTTTACTTGGTCAGTGGATCAACTAAAGTTAAAATAACTTTTTTAAAAATAAAAAGTAAAAAATATTTTTATAATTTTATATAATTACATAAAATAAGTTGGGGTTAGTTTTGTATCAGTATAAAATGTCATATCATTTTCGCATCTGATCCTAATATGTTGTGGAACGAATTGTTCTACGAAGTTTATACGCTGCTTCGACACTGAAATTTGAATTAATGGAACAATAATACAGTGGAATAAAAAAAGTATCACGAAATCCTCTTGAAAATACATTTTGTATCTAAGTTACTTGTTTCTTCGCATAAAAACAAATCACAACATACAAGTTTTTAGGATATTAACGGATGGAGGTGAGATTTAATCTTTATGTAAATTTTATTTATAATTTTATATAATCTTAATCATCTTAGAAACAACTCACATAATTACTTACTTTATAAAATGTAAAATAATAATTTATAATATAATATTTTAAAGTAATTTATTGTTAATTTTATTTTATTATAAATTTTTTAATAAATTTTAAAGATTCATTTATTTTTCTAAAATTACTTGATGAAACAACCATAAAAAAAAAATTAAACACTTATCATATCCCATAATATCCCTCTAATAAAAAATTATTTTAAATAACTAATACTTTATTTAATAATCTCAATAAACAATTCTCATAAAAAATATTCTTATTTCTTTAAAAAATTTAATTGTTTATTTTATTTTTTATTTTTTTTAATTAAAAATTTTAGTTATTATTTATTTG